GGCCAGGCGCGGATTAGGTCAGGGCGACGCGGCGAGCAGGGCGACGCGGCGGGCAGGTGGCGACGCCGCGGGCAGGGCGACGCGGCGGGCAGGTGACGACGCCGCGGGCAGGGCGACGCGGCGAGCAGGTGACGACGCCGCGAGCAGGGCGACGCGGCGGGCAGGGCGACGCGGCGAGCAGGTGACAACGCCGCGAGCAGGGCGACGCCGCGAGCAGGTGGCGACGCCGCGGGCAGGGCGACGCGGCGAGCAGGTGACGACGCCGCGGGCAGGCGACGACGCCGCGGGCAGGCGACGACGCCGCGGGCAGGCGACGACGTCGCGGGCAGGGGCTACGTCGCGGGCAGGCGACGACGCCGCAGGCAGGCGACGACGCCGCGGGCAGGCGACGACGCCGCGGGCAGGGGCTACGTCGCGGGCAGGTGACGACGCCGCGGGCAGGCGGCGACGCCGTGGGCAGGACGACGCGGCGGGCGGCGAGAGCCTGTAGGGGCGGCGCGCGGTCGGGCAGAGGCTGCGCGCGGGCCTGACGAGTCTGCAGGGGCGGCTCTCGGGCCTGACGGGCCTGCAGAGGCGGCTCGGGGGGGGCCTGACGGGTCTGCAGAGGCGGCTCGGGGGCCTGACGGACCTGCAGGGGCGGCTCGAGGGCGCACGAGGGCGCTCGAGGGCGCACGAGGGCGCACGAGGGCGCACGAGGGTGCACGAGGGTGCACGAGGGCGTACGAGGGCGCACGAAGGCGCACGAGGGCGCACGAGGGCGCACGAAGGCGCACTAGCAGAGAAAGGCGCACGAGGGCGCACGTAAGGTAGGGCGCACGAGGGCGCTTCTAGCGGAATAGTGGGCCCACAGTAGAAAGCGGTCCTAGGTAGCAACCTAGGCTCGTGATACCATGTTAGAGTCTAGAATAGAACGAGAATGGATGAAACTAGGTAGGAGGGGGATACAAGTAGGAAACCCTAACAAAGCTGTACCCCCTAAGGCTAAACCCACTATAGCCTACACAATATAAACATATAATGTTTGACAGTCCTTTCATTGCGACTGCTGCTGCAGCATCTGCAGCTCAGAATCCAGTCTGTTGTCTCGTTTCTGAGGCAGAATCAAAATCCTCGATTGCTGCTGCATCTCCAGCTGTCAGCTGCTGCCACCCGTAATCACGTGTTGTCCTTTGCTGAAATCGGAACCATTCCAAAAACTCCGACGGTCGTGACCCTGGGTCGTTTTTTGCTTGGCGTCGAAATGTCGCTGCGAAATCGCGAAGTCGTTGAAGCGCGGTTGCGACGATCGGCGAGAAGGTCGAGTCGAGTAACAACCGAAAATTTCACCTCACTTGAACCCATCGGACCCATAATCAGGGTCTTGTGACGTCAGCACCTCCGGCAGTCTTGTCGTAACTCGCCGAGGTGTTTGTCGCGATTCTCCGAAAACTCCCGGGCAGAGGCGAAAAACAGCTGCTGTTCCTCCCCCTGACCACCGAAATATTTTTTCAAACTCGAACTGGAATTGTCGATGACGTCAGCTACCTCAGCGACGTTGTCGTGACTCGCCGAAAACTTCGGGGCAGAGGCGAAAAAGCTTTCCTTCCTCCCCCCACCTGTTGCGATAATGTTCACCTATGTGGCGGCTGGTACCCCCGAAACTCTGCAGATTTTGCCACCATGAAGTTCACCACGGCAGTTTTCGAGCGCTTAACCCAGCGCCGCTGCAACTCCGTCGTTGTCGCGAAATTGTCGGCCGTCACCGCCGAACTCTTGTAAAGATCCAGCTCCCAGTACTGCTGCTGAAACCCGTAAGTGTCGGTGTTGAAATTTCTCGTACGTCTTGGTCACCTGCAGGTTATCCCCTTAAAGAACCGGTGTATCTAGCGTGCCCACCCGTCGCCATTTTTATTTCCTGCGATTAACCACACTAGCCACCCACCAACAGGAGGTGCTTTTTGTGCGGAACCCAGAACTATGGGTCTACCGGGACCGAATTTCACGGAACCTAGCCCGCATCAACGCCGCAGATCTCGCTGTAGAATTTCCCCCGATGGCTTCGAAGTACACCGTAAACCGCTGAAACAGCTGGCGAGCAGTCCCAAAGTATTTTCCACCGCGTAACCCCGACGTTTCCGCCGTTAACCCTGGTACTCCGACGTTCACCCGTCTTCGTATCCGTCGAAATTACTTAGCGAATCCCAGGTATCCTTGGCGATACACCGCTCGCCGCGCCTCCATGTAACAATATTAAACCCTTTCGGGGGTCTACCGAATAGACTCCAAAATTCGCGGTGGATTGGTGTACGGGCTCAAACTTTCACTCAGGAGATCTGCTGGAGCACCCACGACTTTCCCTCCATTTCGTTTTTGTCTTCACCCCCCGAAAATTTCGCTTGCCGCCGTTCACCCAGCGTTCGCTTTTGTCGGATGAGGTATAACTCCTTGTTGCCCGCGATTTTTCTGACATTCGGTGAAGGCGCGAACGCTATCGTAGCCGGGTCATATTTATCAAATCAAACAGTCGGACCGGCCGCTTCGCTGCCCACCGCGTCTATCGCGTTTAAAACTCTTCAGCTTCGGAAATCCCTTCTTCGCCGCTACACCGCCGTCGGGTAGACCGTTGAATCAGGAGAAACTCCGACAGCTGCACCAACTGCTTCAGCTCCGACTTTTTCGGCGGGGTAACTGCTGCCGATGGTCCGGTTTTGTCGGGGCCGAAACAGTGTCGCTCCCAGAAATTTTCTTGTACGCCCAGCTGTCGAACTGGCGCAATACCCGCGCTTTTTAGCCAGCACAGGGCTAAACACAGGGCCCCACCTTTGGATCCAGTGGCCAATAGGACTTACGAATTGCCTTCGAGGCCTTCTGGGCGTGAGGTATATGAAACGTCGGTAGACTTTGGCCTGTAGGGAGCTCCTTCTGCTACCGCCGCTTAGCCGCAAAACTCGGCCCTCAGCAAAAAGTCGTCGCAGTAGGTCGTTTTCGCCCCTCCTGAAGCTCGGAACCCGTTTCTCTCGCCAGACCCGTATTTGTCGCAACTCCGTTTATTGTGACCGGTAGACCAGGCGAAATTCGCGGGTCTAGACGCTGCGATAAACCGTTGTCCCGTCGGTGTACTGCCCTGTCTGCGGCGCAACTTCCCTTGATCAGGGGGAACCTGTGCCGCCTGAAGCACAGTGTCGGCTGCTGCTGTTGCTCCGAAAATTTCGGCCGACCTTGTTGCAGGCGCAAAAGTGACCCTAACATAGACAGTCTAGTCGTAGGCGGCCTTTTCCGAACTTTTCGGCGGTTCGAAAATAACTTCCGTCCCACACTGTGCCGCACCTGCCGAAAACGCCAACGACGCACCCTCCTGCAGCCACACCGGCCACACCCGGGCGTAACGATGGTAGACCCCCGCTTTCTTCGGGCAGTCGCCACGTCGTCTCTCGTTGCATTTTCCGACGCAAATCACCATGCGCCTGGCCTGCCCGGCCAGCTGTCGTTTCTCACGTGAAGCCACCCGAAATCTTCGCGCCCAGTGACGACGATCACCACGTGCCGAAGACCTCCGAAAATCTCGTGCGCAACGTGACGAAATCGCCCGACGCCACTTGCCGCACGCATTAACTCCGATTTCTTCGTGCGCAGCTGACGACCACGTGAAAACTTCAACTCGCACGATTGCTGCTCCGAGAATCTCGCGCATGCAGTGACGACAATCTTCCTTACGCCAATTGCCGCATAAAAACAGCGCCGAGATTAACGGAAACGACGAAATCAACGCACGCAATTAAAAACGACGACAGCAAAAGCTGTCCGCCACCTGGGGGGAGGGAGGCCAGGGTCCATCTCGACCGTCGAGGGCAAGGATCCGTCGGTGCCGCAGGAGCGCCTTGAAATTCATGGCCGCTAGGAGCAACTACCCGTTCTCCTGGCCGGCTCTTGCGCTGCTCCTGTCACCACGACATCCTTCCCTGTCCCCCCCCCGAGGGGTAATACACTCTAAAAAACGGGGAACCTAGGAACTTAGGCTCTGATACCAAGTGTTATGAGTTCTACTAAGAAGAGTGCGCGGAAGACTTTATAAAAAGGATGAGAATTACAGAGTGTCCAGAATGATAAAGAGGCATGCATTTATAGGGTCGAAACTGTGGTAGGCGAGGACCTCGGGACGTGGATGGGTTGGAAGTGTCGCGATTGGTGCGGGGCGACTCGGCAGTGGTTCGGTCCGAAGTGTAGGCCGAACCTCGAAACCGACGCGAAATGCTCGGGGTTGTCCTCGCTAGGAGCAGCCTCTACAGTAATGAATTCATATTCATTACGATCATGTTTTTGCCAAAAGCAGTGCCCCGAGTGAGGATCGAACTCACGACCTTAGGATGGCTACCGTCCCACCAAGTGAGTAGTCGGAATGCTATGAGACCTACGCGCTACCGACTGCGCCATCGAGGCTTGTTGCAGGGCAGTATTTTATTTTTTTATCTATGGGACCCGCTACCGGCGCACGAGCATTGGCGGGGCAGTCATGGCTTGATTGTTTCCCCCACATGAGTAATGTGACGTGGCAGCAGTGGCGACGCGGATGCCGTGACTGAGCGCCGCGCCTCTACACCCACTGCTATACGTCTCTTTTCTCACCAGTATTTACGAAGCTCACACCAAAAGTTGTCGTTGTAAGAGGAAGGAGCGACCCCATTGGTCTACGGACTGGTCAACGGTTCGTGTCACGAGTAAAGCGGCGGGCCGCAAGGGGCGGCGGAGAAAAATTGCAGCGTGATTTTGATATCGCGCGTCCCCCGTTTAGCCATTCACCGTAACAGCAGCAGCAACATCAGCAGCCGACGCGGCATTTCTTGACAGTATGATGAGTACTTATTCGATTTTTATTCGCCCGTAGCACCATCAGAGCTGCAGAGACGTTTGTAGCAATGGCGGGCCCAGACGTCGCTAGCAGATGATTTACGAGATACGAAAAAAAAACATCAGCAGCAGCAGGCCAGCAGCAGCAGCCGCCGAGCGGCGCTAGCATAGTAGCAATGGCGCGGCCCGGCGCGGCTAGCAGAGCGGCGGGCGGCGGGAGGTGGCGCGGAAGGGTGGCAGCGTTGGCGTATCTCGCCGCATTCGCGCTCGCTATCGGGGTGAACGTGAACCCTCTGTACCGATCCAAACCACAGCAAATGGCACACGATCCCCTCCTCTCTGTTACAGATTCTGCTGTTACAGATTCTGCTGTTACAGATTCTGCTGCTGCTTCTGGTGCTGCTGCTGATGCTGGTGCTTCTGGTGCTGCTGGTGCTGGTGCTGCTGCTGGTGCTGGTGGTGCTGGTACTGTTAGTGGCGGTAAAGATAGTGGACTTGATAGTACTAGTAGTACCACCCACATAGACTCCTCTCCCTCATCTACCCTCGCAGCCTCCCATTCTCCTCCGCCTTCCCCTCCGCTTCCTCCCCCCGTTCCCCCTCCGCTTCCTCCCCCTTTTTCCCCACCACTTCCTCCCCCCCTTTCCCCTCCGCCTCCTTCCCCTCCCGTCCTTCCTCCGCCTGTTCCTCTCATTTCTCCTCCTCCTTCCGGTTCCCCGCCCCCTCCTTCTCCTCCCCTTTCTCCTCCTCCTTCCGTTTCCCTTCCACCTCCTGCTCCTCTCCTTTCTCCTCCTCCTGCTCCTCTCCTTTCTCCTCCTCCTGCTCCTCTCCTTTCTCCTCCTCCTGCTCCTCTCCTTTCTCCTCCTCCTGCTCCTCTCCTTTCTCCTCCTCCTGCTCCTCTCCTTTCTCCTCCTCCTGCTCCTCTCCTTTCTCCTCCTCCTGCTCCTCTCCTTTCTCCTCCTCCTGCTCCTCTCCTTTCTCCTGCTCCTGCTCCTCTCCTTTCTCCTCCTCCTGCTCCTCTCCTTTCTCCTGCTCCTGCTCCTCTCCTTTCTCCTCCTCCTGCTCCTCTCCTTTCTCCACCTCCTTCCCCAAGAGAAGAGACAGCAGCAGCAGCACAAACAGCTATACAAGAACCAGCATCAGCAGCAGCAGCAGCACTCGTTTCACCAACTGACGTGGCAGGAGCCCCTCCCGCGTCAATTGTTTCAGCTGCTGACGTGGAAGCAGACGCGGAAGAAGGGCAGGAGAGTCTGCAAGCGGGGCTGACTATAGTGAACACATCTACTGATCCTGGTGCAGGTAGGTGTTTACAGCCTGGAGGGCTAGATTCATGCTAGCGGGGCTGACTATAGTGAATCCTTCTATTGATCCCGGTGCAGGTAGGTAGGTGCTACAGCCTCCTGGGGTGGGTGGGATGGAATGCGGGGTGAGTGGGAGAACATACATTCCAGCCTGGAAGGCTGCTAATAGCGGGACTACCTCTAGCGGGACTAGCATAACTGTAGTTATGGGTTGGCTGTGGGATGGACGGATGGATGGGTATGTGGGTGAGCTGGCCGGAACGGTAGGCTGCTGTTGGTGGGGTGGGGCTGAGGATAAGGATGCTTCATGATTACCTTGTCATGGGGAAATGCGTTGGCTGTGGGATGGAAGGACGGATGGGTAGGCGGTTGGGTCAGCTGGCCTGACCAGAAGGGTAGGCTGCTAGTGCTGTCACCCCTCTGCTATAGGGGCGGGGCTGCTGGCCTGATGGGTAGGCAGTTGGGTCAGCTGGCCTGGCCAGAAGGGTAGGCTGCTAGTGCTGTCGCCCCTCTGCAATAGGGGCGGGGCTAACAATACGGATTTGTCCTGAAGTTCTCAGCACACGTGCTGATGCCCCTCTGCACCCCTCTCCATCCCTCTCCATTCCTCTCCCAAACCCATGGTCCTCCAGTCTGCCTGGACGGTTCCCCTCCAGCCTTCAACTGGCATCCTGGCAGGGGCACCGGGAGGAACAAGTGGATTCTCTATCTTGAGGTGGGTGCTGTGCGGTGAAGGGAGGTGATGTGTGGTGCTATAGATTAGCCTACAGTGCATTGCGCAAACTCCTCTCCGGCCTTCAACTGGCATCCTGGCATGGGCACGGGGAAGAACAAGTGGATCATCTATCTGGAGGTGGGTGCTGTGCGGTGCAGAGTGGTGATGTGCTTTGCAGTAGACTACAGTGCAATGCAGTTCGGTACAGAAGGGTGGATTTCTCCCGTCCAGCCTTCGACTGGCATCCTGGCATGGGCATGGGGCACGTGGATCCTATGTCTTGAGGTGGGTGCTGTGCGGTGCAGAGAGGTGACGTGCGGTGCAGTAGATTACAGTGCAGTGCAATGCTTCAATGTGCGATACTGTGCGGTGGAGTTTCCCCCTCCTGCCTTCAGCTGGTATTCCTGGTCGAGTTCAATCAAAGGCACACCTCTCTGCCCTTCCCTTCCTGCCTTGATTGCGCACCTGCTTGCACTGCACTCTTCCATCCCTGCAGGGCGGGGCATGGTGCGAGGATGCAGCGCACTGCATCGACCGCAGCTTCTCCAACTCTGGCTCCTCCGCACAGATGGGTGACCGACTGGATGGCATCACCTCACTGCATTGGCTGCAGTGCACTGCACTCGCACATACCCGCCCCCTCCCTGCTTGCACTCTTGCATGCATCCGCTGCAGGGCGGGGCATGGTGCGAGGACGCACCTCACTGCATTGGCTGCAGTGCACTGCACTGCACTCCCACATACCATCCCTCCTTCCCTACACACGTCCCCCATCCCTGCAGGGCGGGACGTGGTGCGAGGATGCACCTCACTGCATTGGCTGCAGTGCACTGCACTGCACTCCCACATACCATCCCTCCTTCCCTACACACGTCCCCCATCCCTGCAGGGCGGGGCGTGGTGCGAGGATGCACCTCACTGCATTGGCTGCAGTGCACTGCACTCGCACATACCTCCCGCCTTGCTTGCTCTCTTCCCTCCCTGCAGGGTGGGGCATGGTGCGAGGACGCAGCTCACTTTGGCTCCTTTGCCCAGATGGGTGACCGACTGGATGGCACCACCTCGCTGCATTGGCTGCACTGTACTGCACTGGAGGGGCATGGTGCGAGGATGCACCTCACTGCATTGGCTGCACTGTACTGCACTGGAGGGGCATGGTGCGAGGATGCACCTCACTGCATTGGCTGTAGTGCACTGCACTCGCACATACCTCCCGCCTTGCTTGCTCTCTTCCCTCCCACATGCCTTTCTTTCAGGGCGGGGCGTGGTGTGAGGACTCAGCGCACTGCATCGACCGCAGCTTCTCCAACTTCGGCTCCTCCACCCAGATGGCCGACTGGCAGGCACCCCACTGCACTGGCTGCAGTGCACCGCACTGCACTCCCACATACCATTCTGCCTTGCTTGCACTCTTCCCTCCTTGCAGGGTGGGGCATGGTGTGAGGACGCAGCTCACTGCATCGACCGCAGCTTCTCCAACTTCGGCTCCTCCACCCAGATGGGCGACTGGCTGCTGCAAGGGCTGCTCTCCTCTAGCAGAGCAACCAACCCCGGTGAGTCCCTCTCTTGTGGCCCCCCTCTCCCTCTAGCTACGACTGCCCCCTCGCCTCCCCCTCCTCCACCAAGATGGGCCACTGGCTGCTGCAAGGGCTGCTCTCCTCTAGCCGAACCACCAACCCTGGTGAGTCCTGACTTCTGGGTCTCTTCATCCCTCTATTGAGGTGACTCTTGAGTCGACTCAAAAGTCTCCTCGTGAACACCAAGAGGTGCTTGTAAGGGGGTACTCTTGAGTCCACTCAAAAGTCTCCTCCAGCAGAACAACCAACTCCGTCTTCATCCTCTCACCTACTGCAATGGAGCAGTTTTGAGACGTTTCAAAACTACTCTTTTTACACGTGCCTCCAGCAGAACAACCAACTCCATCTTCATCCTCTCACCTACTGCAATGGAGCTTCTTTTGTCGCCCCACTCTCATTGGAGGCTCTCTGCTTCCACCTCTGGCCCCCCCTTTCACCATCCCCCAATTCCCCCCCCCCCTCCCCTCCCCAGTCTTGTTCAACTGGAACCTCGTCTATATCCGCTACTGCGATGGGGCTTCCTTCATCCCTCCCTCCAACCTTATACGAATCCCTCTGCTTCCGCCTCTGCCCTTCCCCCAACTCCTCTCTCCCTTTGCCAGACTTGTTCAACTGGAACCTCGTCTACGTCCCCTACTGCGATGGAGCTTCCTTCATTGGCAACGTTGAAAGCTCTCTCCTTGCACCTCTCCTCTTTGCTTTCCGCCATCCCCTCCTCGCCAGACTTGTTCAACTGGAACCTCGTCTACGTCCCCTACGGTCATGGAGCTCTCTCCCCCATTTACATGCTTTCATGCTCCCCCCCTTCATTCCCCCCCTTTTTTCAGACTTCTTCAACTGGAACCTGGTCTACATCCGCGCTACTGCGATGGGGCTTCCTTCCCTTCTTCCATGTGCCCACCCCCTGCGCACCCGTCATAGAGGCCCATCTCTATATACCTCTGCTCCCCACTTCCCACGTGCAGTGAGGTGTGTTTTGAGGCGCCTCAAAATACATCTTCCATGTGCCCACCCCCTGCGCACCCGTCATAGAGGCCCATCTCTATATACCTCTGCTCCCCACTTCCCACCCTTCCCCTCCCCTCCCTCTCCTCCAGACTTCTTCAACTGGAACCTGGTCTACATCCGCTACTGTGATGGGGCTTCCTTCCCCCACCTGCCTTCATGCTTCCTCCACCTGCCCCCCCTTCCCCACTCCCGCCACCCCCCACTCTCCCCCACTCCTCCAGACTTGTTCAACTGGAACCTGGTCTACATCCGCTGCTGTGATGGGGCTTCCTTCCCCCGCCTTCATGCTTCCTCCACCTGGGTCACCCTGACTCATGTTTCGAAGGGCTGCAGTAGTAGAGAGGACGCTTAAAACCGCGAGACATGAGACGACTTTTGAGGCGCCTCAAAAGTCCTTCCCCCGCCTTCATGCTTCCTTCCCCCGCCTTCATGCTTCCTCCACCTGCCCCCCCTTCCCCACTCCCGCCACCCCCCACTCTCCCCCACTTCTCCAGACTTCTTCAACTGGAACCTGGTCTACATCCGCTTCTGCGATGGGCTTCCTTCGTCCTCCCATTGATGTTAAAATCCCTCTCCTTGCACTTCTCCCTTTTTTGCTTTCCGCCCTCCTCTCTCCAGACTTCTTCAACTGGAACCTCGTCTATATCCGCTACTGTGACGGGGCTTCCTTTCCCACCCACTCTCACTAGAATCTCTCTCCTTTCACCTCTCTCCTCCCCTCTCGATCCCAACCAACCTTCAGACTTCTTCAACTGGAACCTGGTCTACATCCGCTACTGCGACGGGGCTTCTTTCATAGGCAACGTTGACGAGCCGATCCGAGACCATGTGAGGGGATGGTGTGATCTATGCGTGTGATGAACTGGTGTGGGGGAATGGATGTGAACGGTTCGTGGGATTGTTCACAATGAATGCGGAAACCAGCACTGACGGGGCTTCTTTCATCATCTGCAACGTTGACGAGCCGATCCGAGACCATGTGGGTGGATGGTGTGATGGAGCACAGCGGATGGTGTGAATGAGAGATGGGGCAGAATAATTGTCGAGACATTACTGATGGGGCTTCTTTCATTGGCAACGTTGACGAGCCAATCTGAGACCATGTGAGTGACTGGCATGATCAACTGGTGTGAGCGAATGGATGTGAGCGAATGGATGTGAGCGAATGGATGTGAGCGAATGGATGTGAGCGAATGGATGTGAGCGAATGGATGTGAGCGAATGGATGTGAGCGAATGGATGTGAGCGAATGGATGTGAGCGAATGGATGTGAGCGGCTGGTTGGTGTGATGCGAAGAAGCATAGTGAATGCGAAAACAAGTATGATGGTATGTTGTCAACAGTCGCAGATCTACATGCAAGGTCGCAGGGTATTCAGCGCCATTCTCTCACGGCATGCACTCAGCCTCCCACGTCCTCCTCTCCGGCTGCTCTGCTGGTGGCCTGGCCGCCCTCCTCCTGTGCGACAGCCTGGCTGATAGGATGAGGAAGGAGAGTGTGGCGGGCTGCCATCTGTGTTCCCCTTATCCCCATCTGCTCCCTGTATTCCTGCAGGAGGGCAAGCCTCAGATCTACATGCGTGGTCTCCGTGTCTTCAGCGCCATTCTCTCGCACCTCCTGGTCCACCACGGCATGCGCTCGGCCTCCCACGTCCTCTCTCCTCCCTGTCCCTTCATGCCCACCACTTGTAGGAGGGCAAGCCTCAGATCTACATGAGGGGTCGCCGTGTCTTCAGTGCCATTCTCTCGCACCTCCTGGCCCACCACGGCATGCGCTCAGCCTCCCACGTCCTCTCTCCTCCCTGTCCCTTCATGCCCACCACTTGTAGGAGGGCAAGCCTCAGATCTACATGAGGGGTCGCCGTGTCTTCAGCGCCATTCTCTCGCACCTCCTGGCCCACCACGCCATGCGCTCAGCCTCCCACGTCCTCTCTCCTCCCTGTCCCTTCATGCCCACCACTTGTAGGAGGGCAAGCCTCAGATCTACATGAGGGGTCGCCGTGTCTTCAGTGCCATTCTCTCGCACCTCCTGGCCCACCACGGCATGCGCTCAGCCTCCCACGTCCTCTCTCCTCCCTGTCCCTTCATGCCCACCACTTGTAGGAGGGCAAGCCTCAGATCTACATGAGGGGTCGCCGTGTCTTCAGCGCCATTCTCTCGCACCTCCTGGCCCACCACGCCATGCGCTCAGCCTCCCACGTCCTCCTCTCCGGCTGCTCCGCTGGTGGCCTGGCTGCCCTCCTGCTCTGCGACAGCCTGGCTGACCGGATGAAGAGGGAGAATGAAGAGCTTGAGAGAGTGGGGAGAGGAGGGGAAAAGGGAGGAGTGGTTGTGAAGTGCATGTCAGATGGCGGGTTCTTTCTGGATGCGAGGGACCCTGGCGGCAGGTTCTTTCTGAGGGACACCATGTTCCGTCCTGTTACCACGTTCCATGTGAGTCCGGTGTATTACACATCAGAGAGGGGTGGTGGTGGTGATGGTGGTGGTGGTGAAGTGCATGTCGGATGGCGGGTTCTTTCTGGATGCCAGGGACCCTGGCGGAAGAAACTTCCTAAGGGACACCTTGTTCCGTCCGGTCACCGAGTTTCACGTGAGTTCGCTGTGTGACATGTGAGTCTTCTGCGGTATACGTGACGTGTACACGTCAGACGGGGTGGTGGTGACGTGTACACGTCAGACGGTGTAAGATCTGTTGGATCTGGGTCGAAACTACCTTTCCATGCACACGTTAGAAGGGCTGGTGGTGAAGTGCATGTAGGATGGAGGTTATTTCGTGGATGCGATGGATCCTGGCGGAAGAAACTTCCTAAGGTTACCACGTTCCTTAGGAACGTGAGACCATGTTCCGTCCGGTTACCACATTCCATGTGAGTACAATGTGTTACGTGTGGGTGTGACATGAGAGGAGGGGTAGTTGTGAAGTGCATGTCGGATGGCGGGTACTTTCTGGATGCCAGGGATCCTGGCGGCAGGTACTTTCTGAGAGACACCATGTTTCAACCGGTCACCACATTCCATATGAGTTGAGTGTCCTACATATGAGTTCTCAGTTGATTCAGAAGGAGGGGTGGTGGTGAAGTGCTTATCAGATGGCGGGTACTTTCTGGATGCGAGGGATCCTGGCGGCAGGCACTTTCTGAGGGAGACCATGTTCCGTCCTGTTACCACGTTCCATGTGAGTTCGCTGTGTTACGTGTGAGCTTGGTGTGCTACGCGTAAGATCGCTGTAATACATTTCCTTCTCTCCTTTCTCTCTTCCCTCTCTGCCTCTTCTCCTATTCCTTTGCTCCTCCACCCCTCCCTCCCTTCCAATCCGTCCCTCTCCTCTCTGTTCCTTTCCCCTCCACACTCCACTCCCCATTTTCCTCTCCCCACAGAACGTCACGTCAATGCCTCGCCTCCCGGCCACCCAACGACAGCTCCCAGTGCTTCTTCCCAGAAAACTTCCTCCCCTTCCTGTCATTCCCCTCCCTTTCCTTTCCTCCCTTGTCTTCTCCCTTTAACAGAACGTCACTCTCAGTCCGCACTGCCTGGCATCTCGCCCAGCCAGCGACAGCTCCCAGTGCTTCTTCCCAGAAAACTTCCTCCCGTTCATCCGCACGCCCTTCTTCATTCTCAACTCGCTATATGACTCCTGGCAGGTAAGCCTTGCTCTTTTCTCTTGCGTTTCTATTGCTCGTCCTCCCTTTCCTTCCTCCACACGTCCTTCTTCATTCTCAACTCGCTATACGACACCTGGCAGGTACGGCTTGCTCTTTTCCCTTGTATTTCTATCAAGTTTCCATTTCATATGCATGTGGCATAAGAAGGACATGTGGCATGCGTGCCGCTTGTTGTCGCCCAAAACGCCTTCTGCTGCCCCTTCCCCCTCCCCCCTCTTTTGAGACGTCTCAAAGGGCTTCTGAGTCGACTCATAACGCCTTCACGCTCTTCCTAGAAGAGGCGTGGCATGCGTGCCGCTTGTCGCCCAAAACGCCTTCTGCTGCCCTTCCCATCTGCAGATCGCCCACTCCTTTGCATCCTTCACACTCTTACTGGAAGAGGCATGGCACATGTGCCACGTGTCGCTAGAAGGCTCCTGAGTCGACTTACAAGCACCCTCTGCATGTCTGTCTCCCCCCTCCCATCCGCAGATCGCCCACTCCTTTGCATCTTTCACACTCTATTTAGAAGAGGCGTGGCGCGCGTGCCGCTTGTCGCTGGAGGGATGTCCTGAGTCGACTTACAAGCACCCTCTGCATGTCTGTCTCCCCCCTCCCATCCCCAGATCGCCCACTCCTTTGCATCCTTCACGCTCTTCCTGGAAGACGCATGGCATGCATGCTGCTTTTGCCCTGCTGCAATTTTTCCTACCCTGTTGCACTGTGTTGCCCAATGCCCATCCCGCACCATCCCCAGATCGCCCACTCCTTTGCATCCTTCACGCTCTTCCTGGAAGACGCATGGTATGCATGCCACATGTCGCTGCAGGGATGTTCTGGGTCAACTCATAAGTACCCTCCGCATGTCTCCCCCCTCCGATCCGCAGATCGCCCACTCCTTTGCATCCTTCACACTCTTCCTGGAAGAGGAATGGCATGCATGCCACATGTCACTGCAGGGATGTTCTGAGTCGACTCATAGGCACCCTCTGCTGTCCCCTCCCATCTCCCTTCCCTTTCCCACCACCCCCCCATCTCCCTTCCCTCTGTTCATCCCCAGATCGCCCACTCCTTTGCATCCTTCACACTATTCTTGGAAGAGGAATGGCATGCGTGCCACATGTCTCTGCAGGGATGCGATAAGGAGTGACTCGATAAGATCCATGGTGAGGCACAGTTATCTGCGGGCCCAATGAGTGAGGACTCACAGGATAGCAGAGTGAGGATCTACAGGACGGCAGCGTGAGGATCCACAGGACGGCAGCGTGAGGATCCACAGGATAGCAGAGTGAGGAGCTGGCTTGGCACGCATGTCATGCATGCCACATGTCGCTGCAGGGATGCGATAAGGAGCGACTCGATAAGTGCGAGGAACTAGAGGACGGCAGATTGAGAAGCTGGCTCTGCAGGCATGGCATGCGTGCCACATGTCACTACACCCAAAGGTGCAATAGGGAGAGAATCTACACATCCACAGAAGGCACAGTGTGTGAGCAGAATATGTAATCTCCTTTCCTCTCTCAACCTCTCCCTCCGCCGCCCGTAGCACCGCGATTTGTCTTGTTGACTCAATTCAAAGAAAGAAATATGTAGATCTTTTTTTTTTTCCTGACTCTCCCTCACTCCCCCTCGGCCTGCTAACTCTGCCACAACAGCCTGTCGGGATGAGACGGTTGCCAAGGTATCTTTAAGTCGACTCAACAGTCACCCTCCTCCACCTCCCCTCTTTTCTCTGCCACAACAGCCTGTCGGGATGAGACGGTGATCAAGGTGTTTTAGAGTCGACTCAAAACACACCCTCTCTCTCTCTCTCTCTCGCCCCCTAAACCCTCTCTTCCTCTTCCCCCCCTGCCCTTCTCTGCCACAACAGCCTGTCGGGATGAGACGGTGATCAAGGTGTCTTTGAGTCGACTCAAAACACACCCTCCTCCTCCACCCCCCACCCCCACCCCCCTTCCCCCCATTTCTCTGCCCCAACAGCCTATCGGGATGAGATGGTGTTGGCCAAGGTGTCGCCCCTCCTCTCCTCTCCCTTCCGCATCTCAACCTCTCTCCCTCTCTCCTTATCTCCGCCTCTCCCTCTGGCCTCCCTTCTCTGCCACAACAGCCTATCGGGATGAGATGGTGGCCAGGGTGTCTTTGAGTCGACTCAAAAAACACCCTCCCCCCCCCCGCCCCCCACTGTTCTCTGCCACAACAGCCTATCGGGATGAGATGGTGGCGAAAGTTTCGCCCCTCCTCTCGTCCAATCGCAGCGCGCCACCTGTCCGGCGGCGATTGGCTGCTGCATCGAGTGAAAGTTCAGTGAACGGAGCGTACCTTGTGTCCTGCCGAGCACACTGCATGGTGAGGACCTGCAAAGATCTGTGTCATGGCACATGTGTCTATGCTTTCTGCAGGCCTTGGGATGACTTTTGAGTCGACTCAAAAGTCACCTTGCACGGTGAGGAGCTGCAAATATGTGTGCCATGGCACATGTGTCTATGCTGTCTGCAGGCCTTGGATTCCATATGCTGTCAATGGGAGTTCTTAGAATTCTTTCTGAGAATTCTCATACATCTCTTGCAATCTGTGTAACAGGCAATGGGCCCCATGTGGCATGGCAGCACCGCCCCACGAATACACAACAAGGTACACTCTTGTCCATTCCTTTTCCTGTATATTTACAGTAAATTTTTCATATGTATTCCACAGCTCACATGCATGATTCGTGTCTTCCTATCATTTTCCCCTCTGCACCATTTCTTATCCCCCCACAGACAATGGCAGAGGCAGTGGGAGACTGGTTCTTTGACCGGCAGAATGTTGCCCTTGTTGACTGTAAACACCCCTGTAATCCCACCTGCACATGACAATACGTGCTTTGCGCTTCAGCATGCCGCTCTCTCTTGCAAGTTGCAACTATGTGTTACCGTATTCTAACAGTATGGCAATGCAGATTGAGTTGCGGTATCGGCAATGCTGAGCACAATCACAGTTTCTAACAGGCCATACGTGAGTTGGGGAGGTGTCATAATGGGCATTTCATGAAGGCTGAAAACATGAATTTGCCGACACTTGCTAAAACCTTCCACCTCCAAAGCACAATCATGTTGGTAGGTAACACAACAAAGGGCAGATTTTTTAAGTGAACTTGAAGGCAAGCTAGAAACAACAGGGAACTGAGATGACACACAACCATGGGTTGTTCAGTGAATTGAAGCCCAGGAACACGTTTGCACCTACCCCTATGCTACACTTTCTAAAAAGCGTGTCGTGATAAAATACCAGTGCAACTGTGAAACGCGCTGGCAGAAGTAACAGTGTGACAGAATTCGCACTACAGAGCCTCACTTTCTTTGCCTAGACTGGGCAACGACTACACCCTAAAAACACATTAGCTAAAAGAGGAAACCAGAGTTGCTGACCAAGCCCACACTAGTGTACTTCTTTGGTTCGACTTTATGAGAACATAAAATGCTGGCGAGTCTAACTCTATAGCGCATCCAAGGGTGTTCGAAACCCTGGGATTTTCGGCTGCAGTTTCGCTTCTTGGCGGCTGCGATTCCACCATCGACGAATGCGAACCAATCAACGGTGCGTGTCACCCTTGGAGCCTGGCATGCCTCGCACAACCGTCGATGACATTCTCTCAAACACAATCATCGACATTATTAGGCTCGGGCCAGTAGGAGCAACATCGCTAGAAACCTTTAGTTTACTCAGGTATACGCCTTAGTGTGGTCGTTCGGGCAAACAACAATCTACACAGTGCATCGCGGACGGGGCAATCTTGCAAGAAACATGTTCTCCTTTTTCAATCTCGACCGTCGGTAGTCATGAATCGATCATGTGAATCCAGCTATCCGGGAGAACCCAGCAATTCCCGTGCCAGTGAGGGTGATAGTAACGGAAGTAGCAGGGAAGCACCCGGCGAGAGTGGCAATATCGGGAGTACTGGTGCTACAGCGACTCCAGAAACCGATTCTGTAACACCAGATGTAACAACCAATTCTGACCCTGTAACCGTATCGACTGACAATGTAACACGATCATGTGATGATGTAACGCCAGCGACAACACCACTTGGGAATAACGCCACGTCAGCAGGCAGCAACGGTGCCGCTGCACCCGAATCACGGCAGGGAGCAGAATCAGGGCAGGGAGCAGAATCAGGGCAGGTTTCGGAACCAGTAAAGGGAGCGGAAGCAGCTACCAAAGCGGAATTCAAGAATGAAGCGGAACCAGAGAAGGGAGCAGATTCAGGGAAGGTACCTGAAAGCCCCTCCCCCGTGGGATTCGACAGCGCCACGGGCGTGTGGCTGCTGACGTCAGAGGGCGAGACGCTCCAGATGGACAGACGCGTCGCGGCTTTCATCCCCTTCCTCTGGCAGGCCATGGCTCAACGGTCACCTCTGGCGATGGGTAAAGTCAGAACGGAAAAGGGACATTCTGACGAGGGTGTGAGAGGGAAGGGAGAGGGAACGGGCGTGGGTGATGTTGCGAAGAGGCTGAGTGATTACTCTGTGATTGCAGCTGCTGGTGCTGCTGCTGCTGGTGCGGTTATCACTGATGCTGCTCCTGGTGCTACTGGTGCTGCTGCTGAGGCAGCTGGTGGCTCTACAGCAGCTGCTGCTACCGCTAGTGCTGCTAATGGTGCTGCTGGTGGTGCTGCTGGTGCTGCCGGTGCTGGTGGTGGCAGTGCGGGGGGGTCACACGAGTCATCACCTATTCTGCTCCCGAAGCAGGTGTCAGCAGCGGTGCTGCAGCTGGTGGTGGAGTATTGTCGCTACCACAGCGTGCCAGGGCGGTCGGATAAGGTGAGAGGGAGAGTATGACTGGGAGTGAGAGTGCGTGAGAGTGGGGGCTAGTTCAGTGGTTCAAGCGGTGCTGCAGCTGGTGGTGGAGTACTGCCGCTACCACAGCGTGCCGGGACGGTCCGACAAGGTGAGCGTGAGAGTGCGAGTGAGGGTGAGGGTGAGAACGAGAGTGCTAGTGACAGTGAGAGTGAGTGAATGCGGCTGACTGGCATTACCAGGAGCTTGGTATTTAACGAGAGCTTTGTGTGTGCGTGTGGACCAGAGATCCTGTGAAAACTTAAAGCTGCCTGCACCACTCCGCCTCCTCCCTGACCCCTCCCAACCCCACCTCTCTCGTTACAATACAACCCCTTTGTCTCCCTCCATTTCCCCCCAAACAGGAGCGGAGGCTGTGTGATGAGAAGGCCGTACGAGTAGATCCGAGGAGGCTGTGCGAGGTCGAAGCCCCCTCTCCTCCATCCGTGCCCCTTCTTCCCTCGTGCCACCTCTCTCCCCCCCCTCTCTCGAAACAGGAGCGGAGGCTCTGTGACGAGAAGTTTGTGCGAGTAGACCCGAGGAGGCTGTGTGAGCTGAAAGCCCCATCTCTTCCACCCTTCCGTTCTCTCTTCGTCCTTCCGCCCCCTCTTGTTCTCCCCATTGCAGGAGCGGAGGCTCTTTGACGAGAAGTTTGTGCGAGTAGATCCAAGGAGGCTGTGCGAGCTGACGTCAGCGGCGGATGTGCTTCAAATGAAGCCTCTGGTGGACCTCACGAGTAGAGCACTGGCACGGCTGATAGAGGGCAAGTCGCCTGAAGAAATACGAGAAACTTTTCACCTGCCAGACGACCTGACAGAGGTGCGTGGTTGGGGGAACGGGTGGGGGACCGACAGGGGGGCAATCAACATCACGAGCAGAGCACTGGCGCGGCTGATAGAGGGCAATTCTCCTGAGGAGATTCGGGAGACGTTTCACCTTCCGGATGACCTTACAGAGGTGCGTGGTCTATAGACTCTATAGGGAGAAGGGTTGGTGTGTGGTACTTGGGAGGGAGCAAATGAAGCCCCTGGTGGACCTCACGAGCCGGGCGCTGGCGCGGCTGATAGAGGGCAAGGCACCTGAGGAGATTCGGGAGACGTTTCATCTACCAGACGACCTTACAGAGGTGCGTGGTTGGTTGGTTGGGGGGCTTTGTTGCCTTAGCCAGTGTAGAGAAGCCTTGGTTCAGTCACCTCACGAGCGGGCAATGGCGCGGCTGATGACCTCACAGAGAGAGGTGCGTGGGACAAAGAGATGGGGCGATGGAGGGGGCGATGGAGGGGACAAAGAGATGACTGTCCCCTTTCTTGTCCTGTACACCTTTCCCACCTCCCCTCCACCGCCCCCTCCCCCCTACCTTCTCCCTGCTCTCCTGTCACATGTATGTGACCACGGGAGGAGAAGCTGGAGCTGGTACGGAGCAGCACAGACGACCCTCGCATTCGGCTGCTGAGATAATTTCAAGTTTCAACCCTGCCTGCCGGATCTCCCCCTTTTTCTTCCACCCTCCTTTTCCCCCTCGTTTCACTTGCTTATCCGGTTCCCTGCCGAGCCCGTTATAACGAAGCACAGGAGGAGAAGCTGGAGCCGGTGCGGAGCGGCACAGACGACCATCGCATTCGCCTGATCCCTCTTCCTCCATCCTTCCTTCCCTTCCCCTTTTCCCACCTCCTGTCCCTCTTACATGTGACCACAGGAGGAGAAGCTGGAGCCAGTACGGAGCGGCACAGACGATCCACGCATTCGGCTGCTGAACCGGCTGTACGCAAAGAAGAGGAAGGACCTCATGCGGAAGAAGGTGCGTTGTTCCTGTGCTTGCGACTGTCCATCCCTCAGGAGCATGCACATTCGGGTATTAGTCAAGAGGGTGAGACCGTGCACAGGCATGGCCAGGGCTAAAGGGCTTGGGAGGTCTCTCTGAGGTGCTTAAATTATTTTCCCTGTGCTTGCAAAGAAGCGGAAGGACCTCCTGAGGAAGAAGGTGCGTTTGGTTTCAATACACTCACAATGACTTTTGAGTCGATATGATTAGCCGGCGTGCTGAATCGCCTCTACGCAAAGAAGAGGAAGGACCTCCTGAGGAAGAACTTTTGAGTCGACGTGACTGTTGAGTCGACTCAAAAGTAACCGCCTCTATGCAAAGAAGAGGAAGGGCCTCCTGAGGAAGAAGGTGTGTTCGTTAGTCCACCCTCAAGAAGGCATGACTATTATTTTCGTTTTCTAGTCACACTCAAAGTCGATCACTGGACCAGCTATATGCGAAGAAGAGGAAGGGCCTCCTGAGGAAGAAGGTACGTGTATGAGTCGGATAGGTCATAATCGACTCTTCAAGAGTGCTGGAGGTATTTCTGCTCTGTTTCTGTATTCGTGGGGTGACAATATTCGCGAGGAAGAAGGTACGTGTATGAGTCGGATAGGTCATAATATTGCCACTGACAAGACTATAGCAGCAGGAGAATCAGCTCAAGGCATCGAGGAGAGGGGAAGTTCAGTGCATTTGCTTTTTGGGAATCACTTTTGAGAATCGGCTCAAGGCATCGAGGAGAGGGTAAGTTCAGTGCATTTGTTTTGGGTCTGCTGCTCCTCTCCTGTCATCTGTGTGTTTTTTTATCTCCTTCTGCCTTTGACTGCTCCTCAGGAGCACACACACGTGGCCCCTAACCCGCAGGAGGACGAGAACGAGGAAGAGCAAGGAGGAGGAGGAGGAGGAGGAGGAGGAGGAGGAGGAGGAGGAGGAGGAGGAGGAGGAGGAGGAGGAGGAGGAGGAGGAGGGAAGGTTCTACGCAATGTTTGTGGCCCGTGATTCTCTCTCTCTGCGCTTTGTTGTCTGTCTGTCAGGAGCACACACACTCGACGAGTCACCCTCAAGAGGACGGGAACGAGGAAGAGCAAGGAAAAGGAAAAGGAGGAAGGAAGGTTTTAAGCAATGTCTGTGGTTCGTGATTGTCTCTCTCTGCGTTTTGTTGTCTGTCTGTCAGGAGCACACACACTCGACTAGTCAAGAAGACGAAAGCGAGGAGGAGCAAGGAAGGGGAGGGAGGTCTCACGGTGGCGAGAGGAGAAGCAGAGAGAAGGATGCAGGGAAGGGAGGGGAGAAGGAGAAGGAGACGGAGAGGAAGGGCAGGGAGAGTGGAGGGGTTCGGGAGGCGATGCACAGGCACCACCACAAGGAGCGAGTGGTGGATGAGCGATCAGTAGACGACCTTCTGTCATTCATCGATGGGGGAGGTGAGGTTTGGGCCTTGGGTTTTGGGCTTTGAATATACTCAAAAGGCGATGCAGGGGCACCACAAGGAACGATTGGTGGATGAGAGATCGGTTGACGACCTTTTATCGTTCATTGACGGGGGAGGTGGGTTGGGTTATGGGCTTCAGGGTTTGATTATACCCAAGGGGCAGGAGGCGATGCAGGGGCACCACAAGGAGCGATTGGTGGATGAGAGATCTGTAGATGACCTTTTGCCATTCATTGATGGGGGAGGTGAGGTTTGGGCCTTGGGTTTGGGGCTTTGAATAGACTCAAAAGGCGATGCACAGGCACCACCACAAGTAGCGAGTGGTGGATGAGCAGTCAGTAGACGACCTTCTGTCATTCATCGATGGGGGGGGTGAGTGAGTGCAGGCATTGATGGGTTTAGATTGGGTGCTCCGGCCTAACATGCACAGGCACCACCACAAGGAGCGATTGGTGGATGAGCGATCGGTAGACGACCTTCTGTCGTTTATTCACGGGGGAGGTGAGTGAGTGCGGTACTGGGTTTAAGTTGGTGGGGGGGGGCTGTGTTGCATGTTAGGAGAGCCTCCTTTTGTTGTTCTGTCGTTGCAACATGCTGGAGCGTTAGGACGGATAAGTTGGTGGATGAGCGGTCGGAGGATGTCGTTCTGTCGTTCCTTGATGGGGGAGGTAATGTTTGGTTGGGCCTCGGGCTTTGGGCCTTGGGCTTTGGGCTTTACGCTTTGGGCTTTGAGTTGACTCAAAAGGTGATGCAGAGGGAGAAGGAGCAGTTGGTGGATGAGAGATCAGTAGATGAGAGATCAGGAGACGAGACGACCTTTTTATCGTTCATTGATGGGCCAAGAGAGTGAGGCCGTGGGCTTTGAGAATCCGCCGTTGTTTTGTTGTCCATGCGTGTTTGGTGTGTCGTTTTGATTGTGTCGAAACGGAGTTGTTCCTCGGATCAAGTGAAAACTATCTCTGCCCATCAGTGAACAATCTCTGCCTTTCTCTCTGTCGTTTCTTTTGTGTGCAGAGAGCAGTGGCAAAGGCAAGTCCGGGAGGAAGAAGATTTTGACAATTCTCAAAAGTTTCTCTCTGTCGTTTCTTTTGCGTGCAGAGAGCAGCGGCGAAGGCAAGTCCGGGAGGAAGAAGATTTTGACAATTCTCAAAAGTTTCTCTCTGTCGTTTCTTTTGTGTGCAGAGAGCAGTGGCAAAGGCAAGTCCGGGAGGAAGAAGAAGAGCCGGAAGAAGACGGAGAAAACAAAGGTGTGCGGTGCGGTGGGATGGGATGGGACGGGATGTTTTCCTCATCTACCTTCAAGGTCCTTACCTTCCCTCATCTTTCTTTGCCTTCATTCACTCTCTGTCTGTCATCTTCATCTCTCTTTCCCCTTCTTACCCTTTCTCCCCGTTTCCCTCAGTCCCCTCGTCTTCCAGAATCGGACAAAAGCTGCCATCCAGCACCGGGAGGAGTTACAAGTCAAGACAAAAACCCAGGCCGGATGGAGAGTGGGGAGGGCAAAGAGGGAACGGAAGGAGGGGTTGAAGAAGAGGGAATGGAGGGAAAGGAGGGGGAAGGTGGTAAGGAGGGAGGGGATGCGGTGGTGGTTGAAAAGGTGATGGATGGTGGTGGTGGGAGTTTGCTCGAGGCTGACAGAAGTGGTGGGGATGACGAGGCTTGGCTGGACCATAGAGGGAGGAAGATGGGTGAAGAGAGGTTGGGGCTGGTAGCGGAACAGAGGGCTGCAGCAGCAACATCAGTAGCAGTAGGAGCAGCAGCGGCGGCAGCAGCAGCAGCAGCAGGAGCAGGAGCAACATCAGTTGCAGTAGGAGCAGCGGCAGCAGCAGCAGGAGCAGGAGCAGGATCAAGAGGAGAGGAGGGAAGCAGTGCAGTAGGAGTGGGAGGAACGGCAAGAGAGGAAGAGGCAGCGTGGCCTGTTGGGCTGAAGAGTACAGGAGAGGTGGTGAAAAAGGTTAAGACTCCACGGCAGGCTAGGAAGGTGGAGAAAGAGGAGCAAAAGGAGGGGAAGATCGTGAAGGAAGAGATTGGGGAAGTTCAAGCTAAAGAGGGAGCAGGGGAGGGTAATGGCAAAGAGGGAGGGGAGGAAGAGAAGGTTAGAAGGCACAGCAAGCAGGAAAAGACAGGAAAGCTGACTCCACGGCGCAAAACAGCAGCAGCACGGGCAGAAGCAGCGCAGGCAGAAGCAGGGGTGACTGCATTAGGCAGTGATACGTGTGATGGTCTTAGTATTGAGACAGTAGGAGGCCCAGCAGCAGTCACAGTAGAAGGCACAACAGCAGTCACGAGAGAAGGTGCAGCGGGGTGTGTGCTTGAAGATGCCTCTTCTCCTTGCAGTCTTGCCACTACCCCTGTGGCTAGCCGTGCTAGCCGTGCCAACAACCCTGTTTCCAGTTACTTGTCAATTTCAGAGGACGTGGGGGACACTAGGCCAGCACAGGCACAGGCTTGGCAAATAGGGGAACAGGCTCGGCAAACAGAGCAGCAGACACGGCCGCTCCTTTCTCCCGTGAAAACGCCCAAGAAGAAAAAGAAGAAGAAGAAACATTCAGACTGCCAGCAGCAGCAGGAAATAGGGCAGCAGGCAATCGGGCAGCACGAGAAAAGGCAGCAGGAGCAGGACGAGGAGAACGAGGAGGACGAAGAGGAGACTATAGTGGAGCAACAGCAACAAGAGCAGCAGAAGACGCAGCAGAACGCATCATCTAGAGGGCCTAGTAACCTGACAATTTCTGGCACTGTTGCCGCTGGTGCCGCCGCCGCCGCTGCTGCACCTGCTGCTGCTGCTGCTGCCACCGCCGCCGCCGTTGCTGCTGCTAATGATAGTGGTGGTGCTGCTGCAGCTGGTGACGTTGCTGGTGCTACTGGTGCTGCTGCTGGTGGTGCTACTGGCGGGGTGAAGGACGAATCAGCAGTAAGGGAGACAGCAGATGGGGAGGCAGCAACAGGGAAGCCAGCCGCAGCGCCAGTGCCGGAAACTGCTGCAGCCCAGGAAGCAGCAGCTGCAGGAGTAGTAGCAGGAGAAACAGCAGCAGCATCAGCTGTAGCGTCAGCTTCTCCCGGTGGTGAAGTTGCAGGGGGGCACGCGAGCAGGCAGAACGAGAGTGAGCGATACCCTGCCCTGGCTGCTTGGCATTCCCACTGTCACCAGCAGCAGCAGTTGTTGAATCAGCAACTGGACACAAGCTCTCCCTCCCAACACCAGCAGCAGCACCAGCAGGAGCAGCAGCAGCAGCACCACCACCACCACCACCACCAGCACCATTCGATTGACAGGAAGGCACAGGATGACAACACTATTGGGACTAGTACTCTCTCTGCGCCTACGGCATTCACTGCACTCTCTCCGCTCTACCAAGCGTCGTCCTGGCAGCCGTTTGCCTCGAGGCCGCAGCAGAGCCCAGCTGGTGCAAGTGAATTGAACAGGGTGTACAGCTCGAAAGGACACACCCCGCAGCTCAGCGGCAACAGCAGCAGTGGCAGCGGCAGCGGCAGCGGCAGCGGCAGTGGCAGCGGCGGCGGCGGCAGCGGCACTGGCAGCGGTAGCGGTAGCGGCAGCGGGAACCCACTTATGAGCCCTAGGGGAAACAGTCAGTCCCTGCACGGCACTGGCAGACCGTCCCCACATGCCAGGCAGTCCCCTCTGCCGCATCTGCCTCCGTCGCTCTACTCCCCTCCCCAGCCCTCGTTCTTCGACCTGCCTCTCCACCTCGCCCACCAACACCACCAGCCCTGGATGGCCCGGCTCTCACCTGCCCCACCAAGTCAATGGGGTCAACCGGAGGTCTCAACTCCGCCCGGTCAGCCAGGTCAATGGAGTCAACCAGGCAATCTAAATCCGCCTGGTCACTTGGGTCAATGGAGTCAACCAGGCGTTTCCACTCCTCCTGCTCCGCAGGGTCAATCTGACCAGGAGTACCCAAGTCAACCAAGTCAGCAATCCCATCCAGGTCAGCTGGGTCAATTAGGTCAACAGGGCCAGTCCCCTGTGGAGCATCATCAACTGGGGCACAGCAACCACTACAGACACACCTGGCCGCCCGTGTCTGATGACCAGGTTCCAATTCGTAGCAGCAGCGCAGGCGGCAGAAGCAGAAGCGCGGGTAATAGCAGCGGCGGCAGCAGCAGCAGCAGCCGCACAGGAATCAGCATGCTGAGCAGCAGCACTGGCACCACCAGCACTGGTACCACCAGCCACACTGTTGCTGCTGCTCCTCCTCCTGCCACTGCTGCTGCTGCTTTCCCTGGTGCGTCTGGGTTTGGGTTCCCACCGTTCTCTGCTTCTGCTGGTGCTAGTGCCTCTGCCTCCGCATCTCCTTCTCTCTCCCCCGCCGCTTCCCCTGCTGCAGCAGCATCAGCCGCAGCAGCAGCGGCAAGGGCATCAGCAGCAGGGGCAGCGGCAGGGGCTGAGGCAGGGGCAGCAGGGGCAGAAAGATTTGCAAGTGCGGGCAGTGCAAAAGGTTCAGTCAGCAGTGAAGATGCATGGGAGGTTGCTACTCTCCTTCAAACATTCATTCAACTCCTCCATCTAGACTCCCATATTGAAGTGGTTTTCAAACAAGGGTTAGGATCGTCTCTCGCCACGTCAGCATCTTCCTTATCCAGAGGATTTTCGCCAGGTCGGGCAAGTTTTGGTGGAGGAAATGTGATTGGCCAGCGGCCGCAGCCTCGGCGGTCAGCTTCGGCAGCGTCGGACCTTGAGGTAGCTTCGGACGTCAGGCCAGGTTCGGTGAACCTGGCACATCACCTGAGGTCAGGGTGGTTCCTTAGCCTTTCTTTGTCACAGCCGGTGTTACCAGGTTACATGGTTTCGTCTCCTGCTGCTCCTTCTGCTCCTGCTGCTCCTGCTGCTCCTGCTGCACCTGCTTTTTCTGCCTTTCCTTCTGAGGCTCGTCCTGCGTCTGCTGGTCCTGCTGCTGCTCCTGCTGGTGCTGCTAATGAAGCTCTTACTGCCCTTACTCCCCTGGATCGTGTGGTTATGGCTGGTGGCGTTCCCAGTGGACATGGGACTGTAACGAGTGGAGGACACAACAGTCACATGACTGTATCGAGTAATGGGCCGTCCTCGCCTTACCATTACTCCCACCATCAAGACCACCATACCCACCGCCACTACCCACACAACCAGCAAAGCCAGAGATACTTGCATAACTACTCTGACGACGAGCGTACATTTTCTAACCAGCGTCTTATGCACAATAACGGGGCGCACAACAGTGGAGGGATGTCGGCCAATCAGATGGGTGGAGGGATGGATCCTATTGGCCACTCTCGGCGCAATTCACAGGGTAATTGTGAAGTTGGCGGTGAGAATTTGGTACAGGGTAATCGCGGTAGAGGCGAGCATTTACCCTCCGATCCTTTTGCCGATGGCGCATCGCTTGCAATGGACTATCAAGTGGGGTATTTTGGTCCGGGGCAACAAGAAAAAGGTGTTTCCTCCAGTGTTGGCGTACCGCTTTATGGGATGGAACTGCCACTTGATAGATTTGTCGGCGACTATCCTCATTATTTGCCGCAGCACGGCACCTCGTCTGAAGCAGGTGGCTCTTTTAGGTGATGGAAGGATCACTTGATTGGGTGTCATAGAGCAAAAAAAGCCTGTATCTTACCATGTTTATCATTGTTTTCTGTATATTGCAGGTTATGCCCAGACATTAATGGGTTGTTGACTGTAGATTTTATGTGGAACCTCCTCATACCTGTACACCCACCATATCGAGTACGGGGCAGAACCTTGTCCCGGTGCTTGCTAGTTTGTGCGAGAAGGATTCGAAACGCAGTTGGTATTGTCGGTGTAGCAATGGCGTTGATTCAGGCCTCGTGATTTACGGACAATTCCGAAAAGCAACATGTGATGCGATAAATGTCTAGACCAAGGCCCAGTTCGGCAGCCACGGAAGAAGGACGGAAGAATTTTTTTGCTCATCTTCTATGAAGCTTCTATTCGCATTATCGAGGGCTGTACAGACTTGAAAAGGAGACACGCTGATTCAATTGGCCAACGGCTTGAACCTCTGATTCTCATACACTAATTTGTGAATGGTTTGGCCTTCAATAATATTTACTGGCCAAGTGAATCAGTGCAGTTCCTTACAGTTATTTGAGGACCGTACTCCCGCCGGGCCGTTGAAGTAGAGTAACCGGTCTGAACGCCATTCAAACCGAGTCTTACCGCTATTAATCTAGTCTGACCGCCATGAATCAGTGGCGTCGCTTCCAGTTCTTCGAGGACCGTTCGCCCGTCGGGCCGCTAGCCGACGCGCTCGCGCAGGGCGTGCGGTGCGGCGCGGGAGGTCGAGGCCGACTAGCCGTTGGTACGGAGGGCGGCTCGGTGCTGTTGCTAGATCGGTCGCTGCAGGTTCGGCGAAGCTTCGTGGCTCATGAAGGTCCCGTGGTGTTCCTACACTTGTTCAAGGTAAGTCTGGGACGTCTTAAACGTAGCAACAGCTGTTCAACACGTAATTACAAGGACACAGCGTAACATCCATTCAAGGTAACATACTGACTTCCATTCCAGGTAACATCCTGACATCCATTCAAGGTAACATCCTGACATCCATTCAAGTTAGTATCCTGACCTCCATTCAAGAAAACATACTGACATCCATTCAAGGTAATATCCTGACATCCATTTAAGGTAACATACTGACATCCCGGCTTATGCAACAAGCTTATTCACAATATCCTTTCTTCCTCCCCTTCCCTCTTTTCCCGCCACCCCTCCGCCTGCAGCGACGTATCTGTCTGTTGACCATAGGCAAGGAGGCAAGCAGGTCAGGGGAGCAGCAGTGGCTGTGCTGTGCCTATGGGACCTGTACAAGACTGCTGCTGCTGCTCCTCTCAAAACCCCCATCCCCCTTTCACACACCCTTCTCTCCAGCAACGTGGCTGTCTGTTGACCGTAGGCAAGGAGGCAAGGAGGCAAGGAGGCAAGGGGAGCAGCATTGAAGCTGTGGGGCCTCGACAACACTGCTGCAGCTGCTCTCAAGCCCCTTTTCTGGCGACTTTTGAGTCGACTTAAAAGTCAGTGATGCTGTGGGACCCCAACAAACCCCTCGACAACACTGCTGCAGCTGCTCTCAAGCCCCTTTTCTGGCTCCGTCCCTCACCCTCCCCCCTCACCTCCCCCCCCCACCCCTACTCTCAGCAACGTAGCTGCCTGTTGACCGTGGGCAAGGAGGCAAGGGGAGCAGCTGTGGTGCTGTGGGATTTGGACAAGACTGCTGCTCCTGCTGTTGCGGGTGCCGCTGCTTCAGGTGCTTCTTCAGGTGCTTCAGGCGCAGCAGTAGCACTGGAGGGGGGTGCACCGGTGCCTTTACGGACTTGTAACATCTTCTCAGACGCTTTTCCTTCCGCACAGGTGAGTGATTGTGTGATGATGATCATGCTTCATGGGTGAGGGAGCGTGAGAGGGAGTGAGTACGTGTGTATGCATGAGCAGGCAGCAGCGGGAGGTCCACCGGCGCTTGTGTTGTGAGGACGTATAACATCTTCTCAGACGCATTTCCTGCTGCACAGGTGAGTGACTGTTAGTGTGAGTGAGTGGATATGTGTGTGCTTGCGCGCGCAAAAGGTAGAGAGTTGAGAGGCACCGGCCCCTTTACGGACTTATAACATCTTCTCCGACGCTTTTCCTGCCGCACATGTAATTTTGTAGATTGGTTGTGGGTGACCATGTCGTGTGTGTGTGGGAACGAGTGAGTGAATGTGAGTGTGTGAGCGGGTGAGTAAGTGAATGCGTGTGTGAGTGAGTGTGAATGCATGAGTCACCGTGTGAGCGAGTGCATGCGTGTGTGAGTGAGTGAGCGAGTGAGTGATTGACTAAGCGAGTAAATACTTGGGCAGAACCACCAGCAGCCTGTGTCCAATCACAGACAATCCATCCTGACCATTGGATTAACTACAGATCGCAAAGATGTACCCACCCTTATACGTGGGTGGCACTGGTTAATTTGTTTGCCAGGGTAGTATGGGTATGGGCTAAAAGAGGGGCGACGTGGGTTGGGTGGTTAAAGGACATCCCCCCCGTTCGTTCCTCATGCATGCATATCACATCCTGTGCAATCCGCGAGGCTCCTCATCTGGGCTACCTCCTGGCTGTTGGATTGGCCACAGGAGCCGTTGATGTGCTGCTCGCTTATTCCTCCATGCAGAGCAAATCAAGTGACTCCCATCTCTCAGACCCATTTGCCCTTCTTCCTCTCCTCTCCCCTGTCCCCCTCCTTTTTTATCCCCTCGCTCCGCTCCCCAGATCACATCCTGTGCAATCCGCGAGGCTCCTCAGCTGGGTTACCTCCTGGCCGTTGGATTAGCCACAGGAGCCGTTGATGTGCTGCTAGCAGATTCCTCCATGCGGATCAAACGGCTGAGAATCCCCCCCAACAGCAGCCAGGGGCAAGGCGGGGCAGGGGGAGCGGGCGGAGTGGGGGGAGCAGGGGAGAGAGAGGGTGCGGGGGAAGGCGGAGGGCGAGGGGGAGGGGGTGGAGATGCGCTGGGTGTTGGGGAAGGGAGAGGAGGTATAGCAGCAGGAGGAGCCGGAGCAGGAGCAGGAGGGAGGAGCGATCACTCGTCATCCTCCTCACACTCCTCCCCTTCTACCTCTGCCTCTACTTCTGCTTTGCCTTCAACTGCCGGAGCTCTCCCCCTCGTTGCAGTCACAGGGCTGGGGTTCCGGATCCTGGATTCAGGCCCGCAGCTCTTTATAGTCACGGGCGAGACAGTCACACTGTACACGCTTCCCAGTGGCATGTTTGGGGCTGCAGCGGAGGGAGGGTGGGCGGTGAAGGGAGGTGGAGGAGGAGGGGGAGGAGGGGGAGGGTGGGGGGTGGTGCTGGAGGAGAGAGGAGGGGATGTGTTTTGCTCTGCCATGACTGATACTCAGGTGAGCGCGAGTGAGAGTGAGTGAGGGTGAGTGAGTGTGAGTGAGGGTGAGTGAGCGTGAGTGAGTGTGAGCGTGAGTGACAGTGTTCCCTGCTCCTGTCTTCTCTCTCTCTTTCATCTCTTCTCCCTCTTCCTCATCAGGACCTGGTGGTGGTGCGCCCAAAGGCCTTCTCCTTTCTCCTCTCATTATCCCTCTTGTATCCCTCTCTCCCTCACTCAAACGGTCCTTTGTATTAATTCAGCAGGGGCACAAACATGCGGTGCTATCCATGATAACCTCCATCCCTTAATTCCTGTAACTCACCCCTCTTCCCCCCCCCCTGAGTGACCCTCTAGCCCTCCAGCGTGTGGAGGATGTCCCCCAGGTGCAGCGGCCAGGGGTCCGCTGCCATCTGGGGGTGCGCTGCCTCGATCCCAGCCCTGGCCTTGGAGTGCAGGGCATTCGCCTGGGAGCGCTGGAGGGCCACTGACCAGCGCTGGCTGAAGTGGCAGGCCATCTTCTTGGCAGATTTCGCCAAGGGGTTGGCCCTGAAGCGGTTCCTAGCTGCTGCTGTAGCCAGCAGCTTCAGGAACGCAGTCGTGGGGTGCGCGTTTGCCCCGTAGGTCTCGACGGCTAGGGCGCAGAACACCACGTGTTCCGTGTGTCGGTAGTACTCCCTCTCCTTCCGCCTCTGTGCCTCTCTAGCAGCCCAGCCTGGGGGTTTGCGGGCTGTGGGGTCCCGGTTCTGCAGCACGGGGTCTGTGATAGTGGTGTCTGTGATCCAAGTCTCTCCACTGTCCGGGTAGCGTACAATCACATCGGCTTTCTTCGAGTCATCCGGCGGTGAGTACATGGCGTTCTCCAGGTATACCACCAGCTCTGCTTCCCTTGCCATTTTAGCCACGGCGAAAGCTAGCTGGTTGTGTGTGCGTGTCCTGTCGGGGCCTGTGCTGCAGCGGAGTAAGTGGTTGGGTAGGCTGCAGTCGGCTACGAGTTCTCCACACTCGCACACAGTGGGTACATTCTGTCGGATGCCCATGCGGAAGGCCAGGGCTGCTCGGAATTGTCCCGGTGAGAAACAAAGGTCCGGGGTCAAAGGTAGGGCCTGCAGCCATGCTCCCGCTCCCTCCCCTCTCAGGCTGATAAGGCGGAGTGAGTGACCCATCTCGGGGGCTGACTGGATGGTGCGTGACTCCTCTGTCAAGGCGTCGGCCTTTGCCGCGTGCACCTCCTGAGAGAGGGCGCGTTGCAGCTGGTCTTGGGACGGGGTTTGCTGCTCCTCCCGGAGGTTTTGGCGCCAGCGGTGGCAGGCGCCCCTCCATGTCCTGGATGGTTACCGAGTGCGCTGCGGACGGCTGCAAGGTGTTGTTGTTGGCCCCCAGTGCCGCGGTTGCTGGTAGGTCAAGGGAGCGGAGCAGTCGTAGCGCCTCCGTCGTTGATGCCAGGTAGGCCGGTGCTGCTTCTGTTGTGGGGTCTGTAAGTCCCAGCCCGCCCAGGGCGACTGGAAGAGTTGCTTGTCGGAGCAGGAAGTTGAACTCGGCTTCTCGGCGTGGCGGTTGAATGCTGGCGGCGGTCAGGGCCGTGTGCAGCAGTTCGGAGCACCATGTGTGCCATTCCGAGAGGGGTAAGACGTCTGCTGGGGTAGTGCGCAGCAGGTAACCGATTCTGCGGCTGATGCAACGGGACAGTAGCAGGAGGGCGTGTTGTGGGTGGATGGACGCCAGAGAACCCAAGGGGGCTGCCGCGTCTGTCAGGGTACTGCGGACAAAGGCAGAGCAGAAGCTCTGCGACCCCACAGGACTTCCCAACACCTGTACCCCCTCAGGGAGGCCCTCAGGGAGCACGACACCTCCAAGCGGCATGGAGGACCACGCCGAGGACTTCATAAAGTTGCAGGTGAGGCCATCCTGTGCTAGTAGCGGCGTGAGCTCCCTTAGCGCGCCTAGCGTCGCCGTCGCGGGTCCAATCATGGTTATGTCGTCTGCGTACGCGAGGACGGTGACTTCCGGGTGCTCCGCTGCCACGTGCCTGAGGTGCTGCTGGATAGACGCCGCGAGTAGCAGGGGTCCGAGGGGATCCCCCTGTGCGACTCCTCTTCCGCTGGTGAGTGCCGTGGAATTGAAGCATGGAATTGAAGCATGGAATTGAAGCATGGAATTGAAGCATGGAATTGAAGCATGGAATTGAAGCATGGAATTGAAGCATGGAATTGAAGCATGGAATTGAAGCATGGAATTGAAGCATGGAATTGAAGCATGGAATTGAAGCATGGAATTGAAGCATGGAATTGAAGCATGGAATTGAAGCATGGAATTGAAGCATGGAATTGAAGCATGGAATTGAAGCATGGAATTGAAGCATGGAATTGAAGCATGGAATTGAAGCATGGAATTGAAGCATGGAATTGAAGCATGGAATTAAGCGAATTGAAGCATGGAATTGAAGCATGGAATTGAAGCATGGAATTGAAGCATGGAATTGAAGCATGGAATTGAAGCATGGAATTGAAGCATGGAATTGAAGCATGGAATTGAAGCATGGAATTGAAGCATGGAATTGAAGCATGGAATTGAAGCATGGAATTGAAGCATGGAATTGAAGCATGGAATTGAAGCATGGAATTGAAGCATGGAATTGAAGCATGGAATTGAAGCATGGAATTGAAGCATGGAATTGAAGCATGGAATTGAAGCATGGAATTGAAGCATGGAATTGAAGCATGGAATTGAAGCATGGAATTGAAGCATGGGTCCAGCAGCAGCGCTCATGCTCATGCGTAGAAAGAGCGTGTGAAGGGGATGAGGGGGGCTAGCGGGCAGCCGATAAGTGCGTTGAAGAACGCGCTCCTCTCGACTGAGTTGAACGCGTTCTCAATGTCGAGCTGGAGGACTAGGCTGGAGGGCTGCACCGTGGTGAGGTCTCTGACTGCATGGATGACGAACTCAGCACCTCCCGGGACTGCCACGCCAAATTGCTGAGGTAGGAAAAAATTTCGCGTTTCTCCTTGCAGGTCTGAGAGCGCCACTTTCGCCGCCAGCCTAAGCAATGATTCTCCAATCGCGATTGGGCGTACCCCCCCCCTGGTTTGGCGAAGGCTATAAGGCGGGACGGGGCGAGTAGGGCTGCAACCTCGGTGGAAAGGTTTGTCGAGAGAAGGTGTTTAACGGCGGAGTGGAGGTGCCCTCCCTCACTCTCGCTCTCTCCCTTTCCCTCGCTCCCTCACCCCTCGCCAGACGCCTTTTACTGGTTCAACGAGGATGGGCCGGGGGCGTGCTTTGGGAATTCTCTCCCTTTCTCTCCAGTTCAACGGTTTTCATGCCTCATCTCTCATGCACCCCTCTCTCTCCCCTTACCCATCAGGACCTGGTGGTGGCGCGACCAGAGGCCTTCTACTGTTTCAACGAGGATGGCCCGGGGGCGTGCTTTGGGCTGGACGGCCCCAAGCACCGCCTCGCCTGCCTGCGGGGCTACCTGCTCTGCCTGCACTCGCCGCCCTCCCCTCCCTCTTCTGCTGCTACTGGTTCAGCGACGACTGGTGGTGGTGGTGGCAGTGGTGGCAGCGGCAGCGGTGGCGGCGGCGGTGCTGGTGGTGGTGGGAATTCTGGAAAGCAGCAGCAGCAGCAGCAGCAGCAGCAGCAGCGAATGAGCCTCTCAGTGTATGACACACGTAACAAGCTGGTGGTCCACTCTGCGCCGCTCACCCCCGCAGCCTCTCTCCTCGCGCCCCTGCTGCTGCTGTGCGAGGGTGGCGCCGTGGTGCTTCTCTCCCTGCACCTGCGGGGAGATGGCGGGGGAGGGGGAGGAGATGCAGGAGGGGTCTCAGCAGGGGGAGGAGGAGGAGGCGGAGGAGGGGGAGGGGCAGGAGGAGGAGCAACAGGAGGAGGAGCAACAGGAGGAGGAGGAGCAACGGGAGGGGGAGGGGCAGTGCGAGTGGAGGCGAGGGGGCTGCTGCTGGTGGAGAGGGACATGGCTTGGAAGCTGGAGGCGCTCTTTCGCAAGGGGCTCTACTCCAGTGCGCTGGACCTCGTGGTGTCCCAGGGAGGGGATGCTGCTGCCACGGCTGAAGTGCTGAGACGCTATGGGGACCATCTGTACGCCAAGCAGGTAAAACATGGGTGTGGGCCACTAGGGGTTCAGTTTCGGCAGGGCTTGTGTGCAACGAAGGTGAAGGTGAGCGAGTGAAGGCGAGCGAACGGAGGTGAGTGAGTATAAGGGCGAGGGGGTTGCTTGCTGGTGGAGAGGGACATGGCGTGGAAGCTGGAGGCGCTGTTCCGAAAGGGGCTGTACTCCAGTGCACTGGACCAGGTGGTGTCCCAGGGAGGGGACGCTGCTGCCACGGCTGAAGTGCTGAGGCGCTTCGGGAACCATCTGTACGCAAAGCAGGTGATGGGATTTGGCAACCTATCACTGGCTCGAATTCTCCCAACTTGTATCTTGTCCTCTCCCTGTCTCTGCACGGCACGACTATGATGAGACGATGGGGCAGTATCAGAGAACCATCGGGCAGGTGGAGCCGTCATACGTGATTCAGTGCTACCTGCACGCCCAGCGGCTCTCCTCCCTCCCCTCTTCGCCTCCCTTCTTCACAACAGGATTATGAGGAAGCAATGATTCAGTACGAGCGCACCATCGGGCAGGTGGAGCCGTCAGAAGTGATTCATATCTGCACGCCCAGCAGCCGACCCTCCTGGTCCTCTTTTCCTCTCCCTGTACCTACATGACAGGACTATGGGGAGGCAATGCAGCAGTACGAGAGGACGATCGGGCAGGTGGAGCCGTCAGAAGTGATTCATACCTGCACGCCCAGCGGCCGACCCTGCACATTATCCCCTCGCCCTCGCCCTGCCCTCGCCCCCGCCTTCCCAACAGGACTATGAGGAGGCAATGGGGCAATACGAGAGGACCATTGGCCAGGTGAAGCCGTCATACGTGATTCAGCGCTACCTGCACGCCCAGCGGCTGAGCCTGCTTGTCTAGTACCACTACTCACATAGCAACCCCCTCGCCTCGTCTCCCTGGCACTTACAGGACTATGAGGAGGCAATGGGGCAGTACGAGAGGACCATAGGGCAGGTGGAGCCGTCATACGTGATTCAACGCTACCTGCACGCCCAGCGCTTGAGTCTGCTCGCGCGGTACCTGGAGCGGCTGCATGATAAGGGGGTGGCCACGCCGGATCACACCACTCTCCTGATTAATTGCTTCTCGCGCCTCAAGGTGAGTAGAGTGTGCTGGGCTAGAGAGGGTTGGAGGGTTAGAGAGGCTCGCCCACTACCTGCACGCCCAGCGGTTGAGCCTGCTGGCCCGATACTTGGAGCGGCTGCACGATAAGGGGGTTGCCACTCCGGATCACACCACTCTCCTCATCAACTGCTTCTCGCGCCTCAAGGTGGGTGGAACATGCTAGGTTAGAGAGGGTTAGAGAGGCTCGCCCTGCACGCCCACAGGCTGGGTCTGCTCGCCCAGCGGCTGAGCCTGCTGGCCCGGTACTTGGAACGGCTGCACGATAAGGGCGTTGCTACGCCGGACCACACCACTCTCCTCATCAACTGCTTCTCGCGCCTCAAGGTGAGTGGAACATGCTAGGCTAGAGAGGGTTATAGAGGCTCGTACTGAGCCCCTGTGTTTTGAGTCGACTCAAAACACTGCTACTCTCTCCCGTACTGAGCCACTGTGCATCCCATCCCTCCAAACCCATGTGCACCGTTCTCTCTTTCCCGCCCACCAGGACGTCTCCAAACTGGATGCCTTCGTTCGGGCCGGCTTTGATGCTCCCCCCTCCGATACCCACTCCATTGAACCAGCAACCACAACCAGTCTCATGCTGCACTCCTGCCCATCCCTCCACACCCACATGCACCGCTCTCCCATACCCGCTTACCAGGACGTCTCTAAACTGGATGCCTTCGTCCGGGCCGGCTTCGATTCCCCTTCCTCCGATACCCACTCCATCGAACCAGCAACCACAGACAGGCCCACACCTTCCTCTGCCTCCACTCTCCCCCTCTCCCTCACTCTCTCACTCCCTCACACCTTCTCCTCTCCCGCCCTCCCTTACGATCCCGACACGGTGATCCAAGTCTGCTGCTCCGCCGGGTATTACAATCAAGCTCTTTTCGTGGCTCAGCGTGCCGCTAAGCATTCCGCTTACTTAAAAATCCTGGTAGAGGATCTACACCGCTACGCCGACGCCCTTGCCTTCATTTCTTCCCTCCCCGACCGGGCGAAAATCGTTTCGGCTGCCCGGGAATATGGGCCGGTGCTGGCGGCTCACCTGCCCGAGGAAACAATTTCTCTGTTCTTAGAGCTCTGCACGGGATTCGGCAGCAGCAGAGACGGAGGAGGGGGGATGGGAGCAGGAGGGGTGGTGGGAGTTGGGACTGGCTCTACAGCTGGGGAGGCCTCAGGGGGAACTGGAGTGGGACCGTCGCGGTTTAGAGATAGCAAAGATTCTGCCTCTCCTCGCCCCAGTCCTAGTGCCTCTGCTGCTGCTGCTGCCGCTGATGCAGCAGCGGGGACAGCAGGAGGAGGAGGAGGAGCAGCAGGAGCAGTTGCCCCGGTTACCATCCCCCCTCGCTCCTCCAGCTTTCGAAAGTCACTTGTTTCGGGTTCGGGCAGGCTCATGGGCAGCCCGAACAGTTCCGGCAGCAGCAGCTCCGGCACGAAAATTCGCATCACGGATCCCGGGCAGCAGCAGAAATACCTGTCACCAATGGAATTAGCCCCAGTGTTTGTGGACCAACCACGGTGCCTGATGAAATTCCTAGAGGCCTATGTAGACAGGGTTATAGACTCCCCGTGGCATAAAGACGTACTTAATTCGCTCCTTGAGTTATACCTTTGCTACGAGACCTCAGCCTCCCTCCCGTCCTCCTCTTCCTCCTCCTCCCTCCCGTCGGATTCTGTTTCCTCTTCGTCTGATTCTGAGCTTCCAAGCTTTGAGTCAGTTCTAAAAGCTGCTGCCGCCGCCGCTGCCGGCGCTGCTGGTCCTGCTTGCAGTGATAGCACGGGCAGCTCGTTTCTTTCGGGTGATTCTGCCCGGACGGATCCCGTGCGGTGGGCAGAACGAAGGATGCTTCTCGGGCAGCAGAAAGAGAGAGAAGCAGCCAGCAGCAGCAACAGCAGCAGCAGTGCTGCTATCAGTACCTCTTTCATCCCCCCTTCTCCCACCTCCCTCACTTCTCCTCCTGCTGCTGCTTCTGCTGCTGCTACTGCTGGAAGAGGAGGAACAGGAGCGAGCGGGGGGGAGGGGGGTGGTGAAAGGGGAGTTATTGTGTCACCTAGGAGTGGAGAGGGTAATGATCGGGCAGCTTGTTTGGCGAAGGCAGGGGCGTTGCTGCGAGCCTATTGGCAGCAGCAGTCAGCTCCTCGTTACGACGCTGACCTGGCGCTGCTGACGTGTCAGGTGAGTGAGTTCATTCTTTTGTGTGTTACATTCAGTGTTTGCAAACTCGTCTCCTCTCTTTCGTTTTTTTCCACGTGGAATTCTCAATTCTGATTCCAGTATTGCATTTATGTGTTGGATGCAAGATTTTCTAACAGCATCCCCCTTGTTCCCTCCTTCGCCTTCCCACTCCTCTCCTCCCCTGTCTCCTCTCTCACCCGCTCCCTCGCTTCCCCGCTCGTTTCTCCCTCCCCCTTCCCAGGTGCATGGCTTCAGGGACGGCCATAGTAACGAGGTGACTTTTGAGTCGACTCAAAAGTCCCCTCGCTTCCCCACTCGTTTCTCCCTCCCCTTCCCAGGTACATGGTTTCAGGGATGGCCTCCTGTTTCTGTACGAGAGAATGCGCCTCTTTAAAGAAGCCCTGGCGATGCACATGAGGGAGGGCGACAGCAAGGGGCTCATTGCTGCATGCAAGCGATTGGGGGATGCGGGGAGGGGGACTATTTCTCCCCGTTCCACTTCCTCCCCGTTAACACCTCCCCACTCATCCTCCCCCTCCCCTCGCCCTTCCCTTTCAGGTGCATGGCTTCAGGGATGGGTTAATCTTTCTGTACGAGAGAATGCGGCTCTTCAAGGAGGCCCTGGCGATGCACATGCGGGAGGGCGACAGCAAGGCGCTCATTGCTGCCTCTTCTCCACCCATCCCCTCCTCATCCCCCCCCTCTCCAAGGTGCACGGCTTCAGGGATGGGTTAATCTTTCTGTACGAGAGAATGCGGCTCTTCAAGGAGGCCCTGGCGATGCACATGCGGGAGGGCGACAGCAAGGGGCTCATTGCTGCGTGCAAGCGCCTGGGGGATGCGGGGAGGGGGGGGGATCCGAGTGTGTGGGCGGATGTGGTTAGGTATTTGGGGGAACGGGGGGAGGCGTGCGGGGAGGAGGTGGCGGAGGTGTTGAGTGCGGTGGAGAGGGGTAACCTGCTTCCGCCTCTGCTGGTGCTGCAGGTGAGCCGGTTGTGATGTTAATGACTAGTTACACGACTACGTGACTCAACACTTACATATGCAACCATTCTCCCTCCTGCTCTCTCTCTCCCTCCTGCTCTCTCTCTCTCCCTCCTGCTCTCTCTCCCTCCTGCTCTCTCTCTCCCTCCTGCTCTCTCTCTCTCCCTCCTGCTCTCTCTCTCTCCCTCCTGCTCTCTCTCCCTCCCTCCTCACGCCAGACTCTCTCGCGCAACCCGCTCATTACAGGGGGGAAGATACGGGACTATGTGTCTCGCTCCAATGTCACATGCAGCCTCTCTCCCTCATCCTCTTCCTCGTTTCTTCTGCCTCCCTACTGGTCCTCTGCCCCCCCACTTGGCTTTTCCCCCAATCAGGCTCTTTCTCGCAACCATCACATCACGGTGGGGGAGATACGGGACTATGTGTTGCGGCACTTGCAGCCCATCTCCCACATCCTCTCTTCCCCCCCCCCCACTCCCCTCACCCATTCCCGCCATCCAGACTCTCTCGCGCAACCCACACATCACGGTGGGCGAGATTCGGGACTATGTGTCGCGGCACTTGCAGCAGGAGACAGCCACCATCGAGGAAGACCGGCGAGCAATTGAGAAATACCAGGTGGGTGGGGAGGAGTGGGAGCAGGTGGGGATGGATGGCATGGACTTAGATGCTACGACAAGTACCAGCTCCTCACCTCCTCTTGTCTTCCAGTCCTCCCAATGTGCCCAGTGCAACTCACCACCCAACCCTGCTGACTCTTCCCTCTCTCCTTGTGTGATGAGGCAATTTCTTAGTCGACTCTAAAAGACTCACCGCTCGACCCTGCTGACTCTGCCCTCGCTCCTTGTGTGATGAGGCAATTTTTTAGTCGACTCTAAAAGACTCACCGCTCGACCCTGCTGACTCTTCCCTCTCTCTCCGTCCCTCCTGTATTTCAAACACCCCTGCACGCCCTAACAGCACGAGACTGACATGACAAGCACACCAGCTTCTGACCGAACCTCTCATCTTCCAGTCTTTCCGTTGTGCCGAGTGCAACTCACCGCTCAATCTTGCTGAACCCTCTCCCCTCTCTTTCCCTCTCTCTCCCTCACTCTCCCTCTCTCTCCCTCCTCTCTGATACCCTGCCACTTACCCCAACAGCACGAGACTGACAAGTATAGAAAAGAACTGCACCAGCTTCTCACTGAACCTCTCGTCTTCCAGTCCTCCCGCTGTGCCGAGTGCAACTCCCCGCTTGACCTCCCCGCCGTCCACTTCTTTTGTCTGCATGCGTTCCACCTGCGCTGCCTTGCCGACCCAACCACGGCTGTAGCAGCCGCTACAGCCGCTGCTGCCGCCTCAATGGCTGGTGACGTGGGGGGAGTGAGCGGGGGCGGAGGGGTGATTGGAGGAGGCATGGGAGGGGGAGGGTATGGCGGGGCAAGAGCGGGGGGGTATGGCGGAGGGATGGGAGAGGCAGGAGAGGGAGGGGAGGGAGGGGAGGAGGACGGAGGGGAGGGGGGGATGGAGTGTCCCAAGTGTGCGGCGTCGTACCGGGTGGTGAGGGAGATGCGGGTGGGGCTGAGGCAGAGTGCGGCAGACCACGACCGCTTCTTTCAGGAGCTGCATGACGCCCGTGACGGCTTTGGCGTCGTCGCTCTCTACTTTGGCCGCGGCCTCGTGCGCGCAGAGGGCGCCTTGTAGTGAGGATTATGGTCAGAAGAGGGTGGGGATTTATGTCGCGAGGAAGGTGGGTGGGGCCTGACTGTGAAAGCAGCACAGAAGGTGCTTTTGTAGTCATGCCACAGTGAGCTAGGTGTTTTATGTGGGATACATGTGCCAATCTCAAGCATGTTACCGTAAATATATTTAAAATTGGCTGCTCTATTTTCTGCCAAGCTGATTGTTTATGGAATATTCAGAAATCATGTTTGATGAAATCTTGTCATTTCCTAACCGTCACAAGCAAAACTCTTAGTGGAAAGGGGGAGAGAGTTTGGTGTTAGAGGCACGATTAAAATGGTGTACTATATTAAGAAAAAATGTTGAGCTTCTTCCTCTCATTGGTCGAGCACTGTTCCAACAAGCACACGAGGACACGGATCTTTGCACAGGTGACGGGGTTGTGTCATTATGACTGGGCGACAGATTAGCGCCAGTGCGACGGAAAGCGTCGCATTATGATGCTCTCATCTCGCAGAGTGACTGTGCGAACGGATAAGAAGATCTCTCAGGTCGTGTAAAGTCGTGCCATCTCACGCGCGAAGACTTTCCATGGCGCAGGGAAATTCGGCGACGTGATATTTTTTCGCTTTGCCAGCACGAGTCATCACTTCGTGAACACGCGCTCACTTCAGGCGTTCCTCACGTCCACATCTTAATCGTGTGCTGGCAGCTCCTCCGCACGTCGCGCTAGCGAGAGATTTTACGTGTGTTGATCCTTGTGCCACGCCGACAAGAGGATTCCCTTCGACCAATACGAGGGAAAGGAATCTTTTTAGGGGGGAGCATCTTCGGATCTCCCTGGACCTCGCCCCCTCCAAGCATAACGCGGCTCCATTCACGAGGAGTGTTCCAGACCGTTCGGTGAATCTGTCGTGCCGCCATGAGCACCACAAACACGTTGCGCCATCGCATAACTTTTGTCTTCTGCCCTTTCTGCAAGGCAATCTAATCATGCACAGAACAAAAACAGGGTACAGCGCACATGCGAACAAAAACACCGCATTCCAGCAAAACCCACCAATCGGTGACTTCCAGCAGCCCCTTTCGCATCCAGTTCGCCCATGTTGCGTCATGTCTCTCCTCTCCGCCCAACCTCGCCGCCATTCTAATCTGCCCTACTCGTTCCACCAATCTGCCCACCACTCTAATCTGCCCTTGCCCATCTCTTCCACCCCTGTTCTTGAAATTTGCCTCGATACGCTCAACCAGGTTCCATCCATGGCGATACCCCTTTGAGACTCCTGAGCCTTCATAGGTTCGTGTTCCACGGTGCGAATCCTCCAGAAGCTCGGTTCATTTTGCGGCTGTGACAAGTTCTGTTTGGTGGGGGGGTTGCAGAGCAGTGGGCTTTTTAGGACGAAGCCCGTGGCCGGGACCGAATTCGATTAGAGGTTTTAATCTTAGAGCAGTGCCACGGGGACAGCCTGCGGTGGCAGCTTCTCTCAGCGTCCTCGCGATATTCACTTCATCCCGCGCCTCTCTGATTCACTAGAACAGCTTCTCTCAGCTCCCAACAGCTCCAAAGACCTGCCGGCGGTATGGATAACACTCGCGCGCTGCTCCTGCGGCGTCAGTCTACCCCGCAAGCTTTCGTCCCTTCCGGCACATCCTTGATTCCGTCCCTCGAGAAACGCGCGTCCTTTGAGAAACGCGCGTCCTTTGAGAAACGCGCGTCTCAGCATCATCGGTCATCGGCGAATCCGCAGTCCCCCCGAGTCGCGGCGTTCCCCCGATCTGTATCCTCCCCCGCTATCGCGCCGCTCCCGCGATCGCTGTCTTCCCCTGCACCCGACGCCATGTCTTCCGTGGCCTGCGGATTCTTCTCCGGAGTTTCCGGAATCTCACCCGCATTTTCCGGAGTCGCCGGATCTCATCGGCCGTTCACACCAGTACCCCTTTCGCCGTTAGGTCGCAGCGCGGCTCGCAATAAGAACAACACCGTTTCAAGCGGCTTTCGGAGGCGCAGCCAGGTCAGAGCCAACCCGTTCTTCGCGGAAAGGGAGCCGGGCATTACGACGTCAGCGAAGCGATCCTGTTCGTCCTCCTCTAGATCCGGATTCACCAGAGTAACTGCAGCTGCAACCCCGCATGATGCGCATGATGCGGGGCGTATTGATCGTAACCGTGCTGTAATCCCTTCATCCAGCGCAGTAGATTCAGCTAGTTCCGCCCCTCCAGCCGTTACTCCTCCTCGCACCGAAGCCGTCGCAAAGCTTCCGTCGCCCAAGATGGACCGTCGCACGCTTCTGGGGCTCGGTCTTGCGACGCTCGCTGCGACGGGAGCCGCGGAGTTAGGATTAGTCGACGCGGCCTTCGCTAAGACCGTAGAGCCTCCTAAGAAGCAGCCGATGTGGTTCTTAGGCGACGCGGCAGGGGGTGTGGACGGAGAGGGGGGGTTATTGGGTAAGAGCGGACCAGCAGTGAGTAAATCGCGCGTGTATGATGCTACAACGGTTGGCGAGCCGGCTCTTGTCGGGGATAAGACGAAGGCGTGGGAGAGGTTGCTGGCGGCGAAAGTGGTCTATCTAGGCGAAGCGGAGGTCGTTCGCGATCCCACGGATAAGGTGCGAAGCGGATCTGGTAACAGTGTTTCGCGAGCGACTGCTTGTTCGTTTGCTGTCTTGGTGTGTTTCCTGCAGCTGCATTTCATGTACGGTAGTCCCAAATCCGTCAGTGGCCTTTTTGCTAATCTGTCTCATTCACGTCAACCGTCCCATTCGCCCCATTCGCGTTTCAGGCGGTGGCGCTCGAGATCCTTCGCAAGTTGCGCGACGACTCGTTCGTCGCAGGTCGCCCGGTCACGCTCGCGCTCTCCGCGTTCCCGCGCTCCATGCAGCCGCTGCTCGACAAGTTTATCGGAGGAAGGTAAGCAGGTTGATGTTTGTTGAAGGTGAAAATAGAGGGATTTATATTTATTGTTATTACTATCATTTTGCTTCCGTTTTTTTTCACTCTCTTCTTTGTTTTCGATTCGTCTTCGCTGCTGTTTGTTGCACAGGCTTCCCGAGGATGAGCTCCAGGTGGCAGTCAATTACTGGCCCAAGGGCCGCTTCCAGGAAATGTTACCACTCCTTCGCTACTGTCGCGAAGCAGGAGTTCGCTTGTTCGCGTGCGGCGTGCCCCCTAAGGTACTTCGCACAGTGCAAGCCGGCGGCATTCAAGCTCTCTCCCCGTCGGACCGTAAAAAGTACGCGCCGCCGCTCGGAGGCGGCTCGGCCGTCTTCCTGCGGCCCGACAGCACCACTGCCGTCCCTTCGTACGGGCCCGGCGTTGGTAGCTCCGCGTTCGGCGGCGCTGTCGCGACGGGCGGCGTCCCGTCGGCACTAGCCAGCGGCGGCATCAGCAGCATCAGCGGCGGGAACGGCGGGCTGCTGGGAATCGAACCCATCGCGAACGCCGCCGAGCCTCTTGTTTCCAGAACCTCCTCCCGAGCCTCGTTCCCGTTCGGCCCGGGCCCGTACTGGTTCGCGCAGGCGCGCGTTGTGGAAGATCACGCCATGGCGAGCGCGATCTCGCAGGGGATGTCAGAAGGCGGGAAAATCGGGTTGCTCGTCGTTCTGACGGGCGCGTCGCACGTGCGATTCGGCGCCAACGGTCGCGGCGTGCCGTCGCGCGTCGCGGATTGGCTGCGCGCGTCGCCAGCGTCGCAGGCCGTCGTGCTGCTGAACCCCGAGCGGCAGCGCGCGCGGCTCGAGTCGGATTTCCCCGAGGCGGATTTCTTCTGGTACTCGGGCAGCTGGGCGTGCACGCGCAACTGCTTCGACCGCGCGGAAATTGCGCGCGTCATGGGCGCCGCGGGTCGCACCCCCGACGCGCTCCCGCGCGACCTGCAAGTCGGGATCGAGCGCGGATTAATCTCCCCCGATACGCTCCAGTCCTTTTTCGAGCTCGAGAACAACCCGCTGGTCGCGGAGGCGACGAAGCGGTTCCAGGGATTGCGCGAGCGGTTCTACGCGGATCCGCGATTCCTGCAGCGCCTGTGCACGGAGGAGGCGATTAGTATCGCCACGTCACTCGCCGCCCAGTTTCAGAAGCGCGGAGATCGATTTTGGTCGGAGCTCGAATACGTTTCCGCGGATATTCTTAGGGGCACGGTGGTGAACTTCTTTTCGGTCTGGCTGCCCGCGCCGCGGCTCTCCTTCCGTGATGCAGCTGGGCCGGCCGCGCAGGCGGCCGCGGGGGCAGCTGGGGAAAACCTTTTGGGCGGGCTGACCTCGTGGATCTCCTCGCTGCCCCACAATGCGTTTCAAATGGCCGGCCCCGGGCAGAATTTCGGTCTGGCAGAACGAATTGGGACGGTTGTGGTGGCGGGAACAAAACTTTTCTCGGTTGGGTTTGTTTCGAGCGTGGCGACTCTGTCTCTGACGAATTTCCTGGCGGACATGAAAAACAAGCTGCCCGCCAAGACAGCCGAGCAGGCAGCAAACGGGCAGGTTTCTACTGAAGAGGAAACTGGGGTGGCAGGTGCAGTGGCAGGTTCGGGAACTGCAGCAGCAGCAACTGCAGGGGAAGCAGTCGCGAATGGCAGCGGATCTGCAGTGGCGAGATCTCCTGTGTTCAAAACGGCGCTGGTGTACGGCGCGTTCCTGTCCACGTCAGCGAATCTGCGGTATCAGGCGATCGCGGGGATCGTGGAGCACTGGATCGCGGACTACTACCTGGCGTCCAATCCCGTCGCAGGGACTGCTGTGTCGTTCCTAGCGCGCACCGCCAACTCCTACTGGGGCACCTCGGTACGTCCTGTTCCTCCTCCCCTCTCCCACCCTCCCACGTTTCCCCCGCGTTTCCTCCGCGTCCCCCTCGCGTCCCCCCACTCCCGTCTCCCTCTCCCACTCACAATCGTGGAGCACTGGACCACCTCCCTTCCCCTTCCCCTTCCTTTTTTCCCCTCCCTGCTTCCAGCCATGAACGCTCCCTGTCTCACAGTCTCTGCATCCCTCTTTCCCCCCTCTCGTGTCTCCCTCCCCTCCCCCTCCCTATCTCCAGCAATGGGTGGATCTCGCGCGCTTCACAGGCCTGCAGCAGTCACCCAAGCCGGCAGCAGCAGACGCTCCTGCTGCGGTTGTAGCAGCTACAGCCGCTCTGCCAGCAGGGACTGTAGTTGCTGGGAGCACCGTAGCAGCAAATGCAGAGGCAGGTGATTCAACATCAGCAAATGCAGCAGCAGCAACAGCGACTGCAGCAGCAGCAGCAGCAGCAGCAGCTACATCATCCTTGGAGTTTCCTTCTGAAGGATCCCAGCCTTCACTCATTCCTGCATATACCGGTGCTTATGCCAGTGCTGCAGAGTAGGCGGTTGCTCCTCCTAACGGAGCTGCCTCTAACGAGTACCCTTTTGCTGCTCAAATAGTTTCAGGTTCTGCGGTCATGCCATCTACTGATGCTGCTGCTGCTGCTGGGTTTTCTGCCACTGCCACTTCTGCTGCTGCAGCTCCATCTGCTGTAGCTTCTGCAGACAGCAGTGGGAGGGTAGATGGGGACGAGGCAAGTGCAGCAGCATTGGGAGCAGAAGCAGCAGCAGCGGATGTAGCAGCAGTTGTGGAATTTGGAGAGGAGGCTGTAGCAGCCGTGCAGGCAGGGGCTCGTCTTGTTCCGGTGGAGGTGCTATCTGACAGGGACGTGCTCAACTACCACCAGCAGCAACAGCAACAGCACAGCTAGAGTAGCAGTTGTGGAAGGGGCTCGTCTTGTTCCGGTGGAGGTGCTATCTGACAGGGACGTTCTAAATTACCATGACCAGCAACAGCAGCAGCAGCCGCAGCACAATTGAAGCACCAGTCACGGAAGGGGCTCGTCTTGTTCCGGTGGAGGTGCTACTGTATCTGGCAGGGACGTGCTTACTACCATCACCACCACCAGCAGCACAAATAGAGCAGCATCAGCAGCAGCAGCAGTGGCAGCGGCAACAGCAGTGGCAGCACCAGTGGCAGCACCAGCGGAGGTAGCAGCAACAGCAGCAGCAGCAGCGCAATAGAACAGCGGCGACGGCAGCACCAACAGTGACAGCAGTGCCTGTCCGCTCCACTCCTCATCAGCACCGAAGGGTTGTAGAAGCAACCCGCAGTGCCACATTTTTCTTGAGGAGCTGGAGGAGCATTGAAGCCCTGCTTGCATGTTTGTCGGAGGCAGTTTGTTTTTGGGATGGCCTTTTTATGATCCACAGGTAGAAGGATAATCATATCAATGAAAAAACTACTTCTTGGAGTTGCAGATTTCCTGTTTATATGTGGGGGCCCGGGAGTGGGGCACTCGCTCTTGAAGTGTAATGTTTCCACAGGTCGTTTTGGATGCTTGACAAAATTGTGTGTTATGGTTCTGTATTGGAGCCTGAAGATTTTAGTATAGAATGTTGAACGTAGAAAGCATCCTCTTCCTATCAACCATCTGCAGATTCTGCATCCTAACTCATGGCTGTACTGTCGATAATACATCATGACATTTGCCTCCAACAAGGGACATTTAGGGCTAGAAAGAGACATTTCACACAACAACTTTTTGTATGACTCATACCGTAAAAGGGCGGGAACACACGAGCTCATTCGCAGTCCCTTGCGCAGGAAACCACAAACATTACGACGGCAGTTGCATCTCCGCCAGCCAACTTCTTAAAACCGGGGTGCACATTCAGCTGAATGTGCATCAAAGGTTATCCCTTGACTGAGTGGGTTACGAGGTGTGCTTTCAACCCCTTCAAGTCGAAATTCGTTTCCCCCCTCCCCCGCAATTTCGTTTCCCCACGCCCCCGCAATTTCATTTCCCCCTCCCCGTCGAAATTCGTTTCCCCCCTCCCCCGCAATTTTGTTTCCCCCCTCCCCCGCAATTTCGTTTCCCCCCCCTCCCGCCAATCTGTTTCATCCCTCCCGCCATTCGGTTTCACCCACTCCCGCCATTTCACCCCCTCCCGCCACCTACGAAATGCCCGAAGCTCTAGCGGAATCATTTTTTTGTCGCCCCTCGTGAGCCAATCACTGTTTTTCTCCAAACCCCCTTCCCAACATCTCAAGCCGAACCGCGTTGAATGTGCACCCTGGCCGTCTTTGAAAAGGATGAGAGCATTGTCCTCGTTGTTGGCGTACATCCCGGCCGCATTGCGTTCATCGAAAACGTTCAGCTTGTAGAAAGCAAATTTGTCGGAGTGTGTTTTGGAGAGTCCTTCAACGGTACCAGCCATCATATTGCCAGCCATGCTCCGTGGGTGGTAGAAGGCGACCATGGCTGGACGCTGATTGTCCAGAATGACCTCCTGGAAATTATCATCCGTCACTACCTCCATTGTCGTAAGCTATGGACGAGAAAATAACGAAGCCTATCTGGCAAAAGACTTCGCCGCTGGCCAGGACGAGATAAAGCGATAAGAAATCAACTGATGAAGCATAGACTGATGAAGCATCGACTGATGAAGCATAGACTGATGAAGCATCGATTGTGAGATCGATCAATCCAGAAATGCTCAGAAATGCTCTTCGGGTTCGTGGTCCTGTGCAAGATTATCCTCTGCCAACGACATCGAGCACAAACCGTACTGCAACGTACTTCAACTCTCAAAACCGCAAAGCAGTCTAAAAACTCTCAGCTGGACCTTCCATCCATCACTCTCCAATCAGAATTCCAGGTTCGCGCGAGAAGGGTATCTACCCTGAATTGTATGCAAAAAACCCGGTTATCTAGAGATGAACTCTAGAGTTGGGAGTCAGGAGAGTCGGTCCGCCCGCAAAGGGAGTCGATTGTTGCGTGTCAGTTGAAAGGGGGGATGTGGGTTGGGTAATGGGTTTCTTCAGGGAAGTGCTGATACAGTATGTGACCGTAAATCAGTCAAGGGAAACGACAACCTCTGCCGTGAACCAATCAGCAGTCGTTGATACATGACATCACGGTTCAGCTAGCTCGACTCTTGGGAGAAAAAATAAACGAAAAACAAAAACACACAGACACACACGCGCAATAGTGCAGCTGCAAACAATGAAATCACGCAGCTGCATAGACGGCGGATAAAAGCAGAGTCGACTGCCCGTTATATTCAGTGACGGCAAACCAACATCAAGAGGTAATTTCAAAACAGAACAGTTTTCCCAGCAACGAAATGACCAATCCAGCAGCAGTAAACGACACGAACACGTAGAGCGAGGCAGCATTGTCGGACGGTTTGGGCGGGAAATACGCATTGTCTGTTCGCATACACGTGTGGATCGGGGCTTGGGTCCATGGACTACTGTACAAGCATGCCTCGCTGTCGCACATTAGCAACTCACTTCAATAATGTGCCCACTGTTTGTGATACGTCCATTATCGTGCATTGTACACGAATGTTTTAGCAATTGTGTCCCTATAACTTAATATAAACTACCATACATGCAAGTTGCAAGACAGAGTGGCATGCTGACGCGCATACTACGGTATAATTATGTGCAAGTGGGATTACAGGGGTGTTTACAGTCAACAAGCATTACACTGTGCCTGTCAAGGAACCAGTCTCCCACTGCCTCTACCATGGTCTGTGGGGGGATCAAACGGAGCGAAGTGGGGAAAGTCATGAGCATGTGCAAGTGGGATTACATTGGTGTTTACAGTCGACAAGGGCTACACCGTGCCTGTCAAAGAACCAGTCGCCCACTGCCTCTGCCATGCTCCGTGGGGGGGATAAAACGGAGTGAAGAGGGGAAATATTGGGAAACGGATGATACATGGAAGATTTTCAGAAAACAATACGGAACGTATTCAGGAAGAATACGGTAGGAGTGAGTGAACAACGTTCGTTCCTGTACATGAAGAAGGAGAGGTCGGGAGGATAGGGAAAGGGAGTGAGTACTCACAGCCTCCGCGTATCTACTCGCACGAACTTCACATCGAGCATTCCTGTACAAGGGGAGGGAGAGGTGGGGAGGATAGGGGAACGGAAGGGGTTGATGGGAAACGGGAGTGGGTACGCACAGCCTCCTCAGCAGATCCACACGCACAAACTTCTCGTAAAAAAACCTCCGTTATTTAAGGGGAGAGGCATGAGGAGGGGAGGAGGGGAGAGGGGAGGGGGGGGTGACGGACTGACTGAGCTGAGGGGGGAAGGGAGGATGGGGAGAGGGGGCTTTGGGCTCACATAACCTCCGCGGGTCCACACGCACCAAATTTTCATCGGAAAAACTCCGCTCCTTTAAAGCTGTCGGGGGAGGAGGGGAGGGGGGTGATGGTTGGGGGAAGGATGAGGAGAGGGGGCTTTTAGGTTGTTGGAGTGCGCTGCTAGGTGCCGCCAGTCAGCCGCATTCACTCAATCTTACGCTCACTCTCACTCTCACCTTGTCCGACCACCCGGACAAGTCTGTGGTAGCACGGCAGTACTCCACCACCAGCTGCAGCACCGCTGTTGACACTAGCTGAGACACTGACCTGCCTGCACTGACAATCAGCCTGAAATCCCCTCAGAAACACTCAACTCAAGGAACACACACCACACCAAGCAGACTCCACATTCTCACCTAATCAGAGCGCCCGGGCAAGTCCGTGGTAGCGGCAATACTCCACCACCAGCTGCAGCACCGCTGCTGACACCTGCTTCGGGAGAAGAATGGGCAACGACTCTTGGGATCCCCCCCCACTGGCAGCAGCAGCGGCTGCACCAGGAGCAGCACCAGCACCAGCAGCATTGGCAGTAGCAGCAGCACTGGCAGTAACAGCAGCTGCGGGAGCCCACCAGCCGCCATAGCAGCAGCATGAGTACCACCACCAGCATCAGTGATAACCGCACCGGCAGCAGCAGCACCAGCAGCTGCAATCACATAATAATAACTCAGCCTCTTCGCAACATCCCCCATGCCCTCTCCCTCTCCCTTCCCTCTCACACCCTCCTTCACACCTCCCAACCGCTCCCGCTCGAAGCACTTCACATTCTCTGGCTCGTCAGAAAACCCTTTTTCCGACTTGACTCGAGCCATAACTAGGGGTGATTGTTGAGCCACGGCTAGGGTGGACTTTTGAGTTTGAGCCATGACTAGGGGTGACTTCTGAGCCATGGCCTGCCAGAGGAAGGGGATGAAAGCCGCGACCCGTTTGTCATCTGAAGCGTCTCGCCATTTGACGTCAGCAGCCAAACGCCCGTGGCGCTGTCGAATCCCACAGGGGAAGCGCTTTCGGGTATCTTCCCTGAATCTTCCCCTTTTTCTGGTTCCGCTCCCTTTACTGCTGCCGCTCCTTGCCCTGATTCCGCCTCCTGCCGTGATTCGGGTGCGGCGGCACCGTTGCTGCTTGCTGACGTGGAGCAACTCCCAAGCAGTGGCGTGGCTGTATTACCGTTTTCTGCTGCTGTCTTCGCATCAGTCGCTACTGCTGCTGCTGCTGCTGCTGTTGTTGCTGCTGCTGCTGCGGACTTCGTGTGAGTCGGTGGCGTCACAACATCACATATTCGTGTTATTTTTTCAGTTGAAGTGTTGACAGCGTCAGCTTCTGCTGTTACAGAATCGGATCCACGTGTATCTGTAACACCTACACCGGGTGTAACTGTAGCGCCAGTACCCCCCACATTGTCACACTCGCGGGCTGTTTCTCTGCTACTTTCGTTACTATCGGCATCACCGTTATTGCTCAATTCTCCGCGCCGGCTGGATTCACGTGAATGGGCCATGACCACCGACGGCTGAGATTGAAAGGAAAGTGTCTGCTGCCGAGATTTCCTAATCCACGATCCACCGTGTAGATTATTGTTTGCCTGAACGACCACAATAAGGCGTATCCCTGACTAGACTAGAGGTCTCTAACGATGTGACTCCTACAAGCTTGAACCTAGTGATGTCCATAATTGTACCTGCGATCGATATTGTGTTGGAGTGAAACAATCTCTCTCCTTTGGAGTCCTCCTTGCCTGCACTGCCCCACCCCCACCGGGAAAAATGTCGAACTCCTCTCCGCCTCCCGCAACCTCGGGACTTCAGCCTCCTCACCCTCTGCTATGCTGCCGCGTCAGCCTGCATGCCAGGACCATTGTCCTCTGGCTTCTGTTTCTCCAGGTTTGGCCTGTGGTAGGTGAGTTCTGCTGTGCCTCTTGTTTGTGGTTTGTGCATGGTTTTCGCTCGGTTTTTGCTCCGGTTTTCTTGGTGTTCTTGCAGGTTAGGCCCTCTTCTCCTCATGTGGTTCGGCTGCTTCTGGATCGGTTCTGCTGGCTTTCTCTGCAGGAATTGTTGGGTTTTACTCTCATCTCTCTCTTTGGTGGTTTCCACAGGCCGTCCCCTTGTCACAGTACCCTTGTGGTGCACACACTGCAATTGCTCCCTTGGCTGTCTGCTCTCCTCGTCCTCCTTACTGACCGGCTTTGCAGGAGGCTTCACGTTCTCTGGAAAACCCTGCTTGCGCAACTCTTCTCGCTCCACGTCTACTCTCAGCCATGCACTCGTGCTTTGGTGACACGTTATGCTGTGACGACGCGTACTCCTGCGTGTTCTCTCCATGCACGCTACGCGGCTCCCCTTTTCCTCGCTGGATCCTTGTTGGTTACTGTGTGCCTCGGCCATCGCCAAAGCCACGACCTTGTCACTCGTGAAACTGGAACATTTAATGTCCCCTCCTTGACGCGATGCGTCGAGCCAACCCTCTCACCCCTTCCGCGCCGGACCGCGCTTCCATGCTACAAATCGACGTACCATGACAGTCCGTCCTTACCACCTGGCGCTATGGACCCCCAGCACAACCCAGACGAACTCATGGGAGAGGAGGAGCTTGGTGCCTCCTTCTCGGTCGATTCCTTCTTTGCCGAGGAAGCAGTCACCCCCGCTGTCTCTGCTCCGCCCCCCGCGAAACGCGTCTGTGCTGCTGGTTCTTCCAATTCTGCGCCTGTGGCTCCCCGTGCGGCCCCGGTGGTGCCGCCAGTCACTCCGGTCATGGCTTCCGCAGCCGGTCCCTCCTCGGCTGCGCCTGCTCCTTCAACGTCGACCCAGGAAGCTAATCCTGTGGTCGCCCTCGCCATCACCGGCCGGTATCAGCGCCTAAGGCGCAACCGTGAGACTGTTGGAGTCGTCGTCGCGGCTTTGGCCCGCGACACCGATGCTCTTGTCGTGCTCCTGTTCCCTGAGGCGCTTGAAGCGCATCGCAGTCGCATCCTAACCCGCGTCCGCAGCATCCTCCGCGGCCGTGAATTCTCTGGTGGTCGCGTCCCTGTTTTCGAGGCCTCTGCAGGCGAGCTTCTTCGCCTTCCCCGTCGCTCGTACTGCCGTCACATGCTTCAGTGGCCGTCGGTTGATGACGCAAACCGGTTCAAGCAGCTCCCACCGATCACTTACCGCTCGTCCGAGGGGTCGTCCGCGGAGATCAAGGTTTACCAGGATCCCGCTCCCGACTTCTCCGCGGCAAAGGCTCGTGGTGAAACAGTGCTGGTGCTGCGTAACGTGCCCTGGGTTTTGCGGTCCAAACGCTTCGTTCCCTGCTCGTGTCAAGTGCCTCACAGGGTGCTAGGTGGCTCGGTGATCTCTTGTTCTTTCACAAGTTGTTTGATCCCTATGAGGAATCCTTCCTCCCACAGATGCTCGGCATAGCCGTCGCGCCTCCCAACGACCCGCTGTTCGAGGCCATCCCGGCCGTGATCTGGGTGCCTAACGTCCAAGAGCCCATCTTGGTGAACATCTCGGCACACTCGTGCGGGGTGTGCTCCAGCAATCACCGGACTCGCGATCACAGCAACTTCGCGGCGGTGCGAAGGAACCGCATCACTAACCCGTTCCTCATCACTCTTGGGCAACTCCAAAACGTTAACGGTACTCTCCCTCCTTTCCTCCCTATAACACATGCTTCCCTTGCGCGCCTGTACTCTGCGTCATTTTCCTCTTCCGCCTTGGGTTGTCCTTTTCTTTTCGGATCTTGTTCTTACATTGCTCATCATGTCTGGATCTGGTCCTGTCTGGCTCTGGTATTGCGTTGGGCATGTAATCTCCTTCTCCAGCCCTCACTGGCATTGTGGTATGCTCCTCTCGGATTCTGCCCCCTGACACCTTCCAGCCAGGATCATTGGCCAGCATCCCTCAGTGGCCTCCTTCAAGGCAGACCCCGGCACCTTCTTCATCGGGACCGACCTCGAAGTGGAGGTCTGGACCTGTGCTCTGTGTTCCTTCTGCTGCGGCTGGGCACTGGACAGTGCCATGGAGCACATCGCCAGCCCCTCCCACCTGTCTGCCATCCAGCAGATCTCTGGCAGCCCCACGCCCCTGGAGGAGTATGGGGATGTGAAGGCCCATGTCTTCAATCAGAACGGCCCTATCGCCGCCTTTCTCGCGTAGGTGCTGGAGTCTACGGCTATTGTGATTGCTGTGCGCGAAGCTTGTACTCACTGTTGTTGTATAATCAATCTGGAAGGAAGCCTTGCCAAACTTGGTCTTCTGCTCCCACCTGCGATGGTCCTACTGAATATGCTACCTTAGTTTGCCCCTGTGGATGTGTGCTTCTCGGAGCACATGGGGCCTTCCTATATGGTGAATAATGGATTCACACCTCAGGATACAATGCTTGAATGTCAACGGTCTCAACTCACCTCAAAAGTTAGACGTGCTTCGTTCCTGGTTCACAAGGAATCACTCTGATATTCTCATTCTCACCGACACCCGTCTCACCACCAATTTCTCCCACCTCCTTTTTAAGCTCAAGCCAAAGGCATATGCCCAAGTTCCCCCTCGCCTTTCATCCTCATCTCAGCCTAAACCTGGAGGCATAGCAGTGCTGATCTTCCATCCAAGTGTCACTATCACTAGCAGAGCCTCTTCTGGTGATGGCCGCTGCCTGTACTTACACTGTAACTTTTTACATGAACAATTTCGGTTGCTCGCAGTTTATGCGCCCAACTATTATCTGGACAGACGTAACTGGTGGATCAACACAGTTACACATTTCCTGGAGCAACCTTCCGCCAGCTCCGCGACCATCCTGACTGGAGATTTTAATGCCGTTGTTCTACCCATTGACAGGAATCGTAATCTGACAGCACTAGAGCAATCTGAGGCAATCTTTCTTGGCAACTCGCTAGCAGCACATTCCCTCATTGACTGCTATCGACACAAGCTTCCTGACGAGCCCATGTACTCCTTCACCTCCCGCCGTCCTCCTTCTCTTCCCAACTCCGCACCTTCTTCTTCCCGCTTGGACAGAACTTACCTATCTGGACAATGGGCCGATCGTATTCACCACGCGTCCTATGTTTCTGTCTCCCATCCTCTGTCAGACCATAATCGGGGGCCTCTCGTAGCGATTCGGTTTCGCAATCCCAACATGGCTCCTAGGCCGTGGCGCTTTCCGCAGCAACTTATTCTCAAGCCTTTCGTACACTCGACCTTGGAACAATCCGCCTCAGTGCTCCAGGACGTGTTCTCTGCACAGGATTGGGATCGATGGAAGTTCCTGCTCTGCCGTCAACTCCGATGGTACAGTAAGGAGGATAAAACACGGGTCAGGAAAACCTTGTCGTTTCTTACTAATGAGGTGTGCACTCTCCAGCTCCACCTTCTCAAAAACCCGACTGACCAGTCGGGTGCTGATCGCCTCGCTCTTCTCTCTTCTAGCCTCGAAGCCTACGAACTTTCCCGTGCTTCCGAGATTGCTCTTAAAGCTCAACTTAAAGTGGAGGGCTCCAGGGAAATGGGAGTCTCCTCCCTCTTAGTCGGCCTTCAAGGACGCATCAAAGATTCCCTTATCCCACATCTTAATCTTCCCTCGGGCGAATTGATTTCTGACCTGGCCGGTATGACTCAGCATTGTTCTGAGTTCTTTGCCACACTATACAATGGTTGTAATCCTATTTCCCGCGACCCTTCCTTTTGGGGCCATGTCCGCCCTTCCATCCTGCCCCCCGGCTGCTCTGTCCGCCTGGACCAGCCTTTCTCTCTGGCGGAAATAGACCGCGCCCTCGGGAGGCTCTCCAAAGGTAAAACGCCTAGCCCGGATGGGCTCCCTGGTGAGCTTTTCCGCTCCCACAAGAAGTTGTTCACCCCACTATTCCATACCCTTTGCAATTCCATTCTCTCGCAAGAACAGGTTCCAAACTCCATGAAAACCGGCAGGACCGTGTTAATTCCCAAGCGTGGAAGTTCCGATGTGGTGTCCAACTTGAGACCGATTACCCTTATGAACGCGGACTATAAAGTTATAGCCCTCATCCTTGCCTCCCGCTTGCAGGCCGTACTTCCGAAGATCATCAACCCAGCACAAGCTGCATTCATCAAGGGACGCCGTATTGGAGATACGATAAATGATACATTGGACCTCATGGAGTGGGCTCTCTCACAAGGTAACCCACTCTTGGTCCTCACGGTTGACATTCGGAAGGCTTACGACATGGTGGATAGGCCCTTCCTCTATCACTGCCCGCAGCACTTGGGTATCTCCCCCGGTTTTATTCGGTGGGTCTCCCTCCTTCACTCTGATACCTCGAATAGAGTCTCTGTTAACAACTTCTCTGGTCCCCTTTTCCCAGTACGGACAGGTGTTCGCCAAGGTTGCCCCTTAGCCCCTCTCCTCTTCGTTTGCGTGATCGAGGTAATGCACCGCTACCTCCATGCCTTCCTTCCCGGCTTTGCTTTCAATCAAACTCAACGTAGGCTAGCGGCTTGTTATGCTGATGACGTTTCCATCTTTCTCAACTCTGATTCCGAACTCAAAATCACTACGCAAGCCCTCAGTACGTTTGCGGCCATGTCCGGTGAGCACCCTAACTGGGAAAAGTGCTCCATTATTCCCATTCACCCTCTTGACACCCCCTTGCTCCACACCGGCCTGATTCCGGTGAGGAGTGCTAACGAACCAGAGCGGATCTTGGGGATCTATGTGGAGCTATGTCAACCAGGCTTGACAACCTGGAATAACATACTTCTACGCATCAAGGGCACCACCAAGCTTCTGGCCCAATTCAAAGCTACCACTACTTGTCGTTCTCTTCTCTCTACCGAAAGGCTCTCCTCGCTATATGCCTATGGAGCCAGGTTTCAGCCTCCCCCCCCTCTCATCATCACCACTTTGGATAGAGTCATCGGTATCTTCCTGTCCAACTCCCGGTACAAGGAGCACGGTTTAGCTACCAGGCAGATTCCCAAGCGTATTCTGTACAACAAGAAAAAACACGGAGGCGTCGGAGCCTTGGAACCTTCTTCGCACATTCGTGCGTTGAGCATCCAGCGGGCCGTGCGGAGATTCCGTGCCACCCCGTATGAAGATGTGGCTCACTCTTGTGTTCCGGTTCCCTTCGGCCTCCACTGCTACCTTGCTCACCCGTCCTTACTCAAGTTCCTTCCCCCCCAGGTGCCTGACAGATTTCGTGCTGAGCTTGAGGCGGTACTTCCTCTTCCTTCCAAAGTGCAACCACCGCGGTTGGAGCCCCGATGTCTCATGGCTGAACCGGTCGCCTTCAACAGATTCATATGCAAAGAGCCTAATGTACCATTCGGCAGGTTGAAGGACGAGAAGTTCCTTCTCACCAATCAGGTTCGCCTGGGGGACCTTCTCATCCCCACACGTATGGGTGCGAGACGCCTTGAAGAAGACGAGATCTTTGAAAAGTTCCCTCCCTCTGTGTTTCCAGGTAGTAGGACTCTCATCCTCAGCATTTTTGACTCAATTCCACTTAGCTGGTGGGCCGCTCTCAGAAGATTCTCCCCTCACAGGAAATACCTGGCTGTTGATGACTGGGTTTTGGAGGCGAAACAGACTTACCTTCCCAGCAGAATCCTGCGTGTCTCCCTCCTGCTTCCCGATTTCAAAGCAAAATTCAACATTTTCCAGGTTCTGCAAGGGAGACAGGTGGCGACAACAAGCGACGGGTGCTGCACGCTCTCCTTCAAAGACGTCATTCCTGTCCACGTCCGGGAGAGGTGGCTGGCTGGTCCGTACGACTCTGGTCCTGCCCTCGGCTCTCGACACGAGCTCTTCGCTGGTTCTCCCTCCCTCTCGGACATCAGACAACTCCTCTATCGCCCCTTGCCGCTCAATCACCTGGAACGCTGGAACACCTGTGTACGAGACCCCATTCCCTTCCTTCCGGATTATCACCACTCATTCCTCAAGGATCAACCCTCACGGCACCGCGACGTCCTCTTCCGCCTCTTCATCCTAACTCTGCCTTGCGGATCACGATATCGTTTCACTACGTCAGGTGGAGCTTGCCCACGCTGTGGGCCCCCTACGGTCGAGGACCTTCCACATATGTTCTTTGATTGTGGACATGCACCTGCGGTGGTCGAGTCAATTCAAAGGGTCGCCTTGCGCCACCTCAACACATCGGTCGAAGCTGCGGCTGTGTTATTCCCACTTCCTCACCCCTCGAGCCTCATTGCTCCTTGGTGCTTGCTCGTTGGTGCGGCTGCCACAACTCTTTGGAGAGATCGATGCGCTTTTCACTACGAACAGACCTCCTACTCACGCCTCGAAACTCTCCACCGAATATTAGCTCTGTTCCTGACAGCCTGCAAAATCTTCTTCTCCCGCCGTTCTAAGTGGTCTGACAAGAAGAAACGTGCCACGGTCAACCGTGCCCGAGCCGCATCGTCGCTTCGCTTTCTCGTCATCGGTCCAGAGGGATCTCTTCAGCTGCATCCGTATTTTCGAGAATCATGGTTGTTGAACGATACATTTCATCCCCCTTAGGAACATTTGGACTTTAGGTGTACAACCCGGTTAAGGCCTTGGCCTTCATTCTACCTTTCGGTAGACAAGTAACGCAGTCTGTGTAGGTCCTCTAGACCTTGGCTTTTGCCATGCTTGTGGTGTTGTATTGTATGCGGTTACGACCATAATAAAAACTTAAAACTTAAAACTGTGTTGGAGTGAAAGTAATCGACGGTTGTGCGAGACATGCTGCTGGGGCTCCGAGGGTGACCCCCCACCGTCGATTGGTTCGTGTTCGTCAATGGTGGAATCGCAGCCGCCAAGAAAACGAAGCTCCAGCCGAAAATCCCAGGGTTTCGAACACCCTTGACTGCGCTATAGAGCTGTGCAGAGCATCATTTAATATTCTCATAAAGTCGAACCAGAGAAGTGAATGCTACAAATGTTTTCTACTGAGTAAGAATAATGGTTCTGTTCGTGTATGCAAATGCAGCATACGCAATCAGAGTGAAACTCTGTAGCGCATCAAAATCACACCATACAAGAGCCTCGAGATTGCGATGGAAGAAAGGAACCCAGTTCCTCGAGATCTACCTGCGTCCCTCATAACATCTAGCAGGTACTTCGAACAGTCTAGAAGTCTATGGTAGCTTCGGCAGTCTACTAGCCATGTTCTCTTTTTGCATCTTATCAGAGTTGATTTCGTTAGCGCGTGTTTTACGGCTACTTTCGTCAGCGCGTTTTACGCCCATACTGCGAACCTCTTAGCAGTACACAACATTCATGCCATCTAAGAGTTCTGACTCAGTGTTTTAGCACCCTAAGGATTCGAGAACAGCTTAGCGACTATTTCTCAGTCAGCAGCTGTGCGCTTCAATAGCAGCAGCACCAGCAGTACCAGCTGCAGCACCGGCAGCAGTCGACATGCATCTCTTCGTGCGAACCTTAGGAGGCGTCACCCTTTCCCTCCAGCTCCCGGATTCCGCGCGAGTCGCGGATCTTAAAGACCTATTGGCTTCCAAAGGTGGTTCCGCAACCACTTCCTGCCAACCCCTCCTTTTTGAATCGCGCCTGCTCTCCGACGATGCCGCGCCGCTCGCGTCTGTATTCGCGTCGCGACGCGGCGAACCACGTCAGCATCCGCTTCCGCTTCGGGACCTGACCGTCCACCAGACTTTTTTTCTGCGCGGCGGCGCGCCGCAGCCGGCGGTTCCGCGCCCGAAGCTTAACTTCAACCAGCGTCCGCCTCCTAACTATGTCGCCGGCCTCGGTCGCGGTGCGACGGGTTTCACCACGCGGTCCGATATCGGTCCCGCGAGGGCGGCGCCGGACATGCCGGACCGCAACGCGGCGCCGCTGGGTCGCGGGAGAGGCGCGGGAGGGGGAGCGGGGGGAGCGGAGGAGGAGGAGGAGGAAGAGGAGGAGGAGACGGGTAAGGAGAAAAAGGAGGTTAAATACGACGAGCATCAGAAATTTGACGAGTTTGAAGGGAACGATATGGGACTGTTCGCGACGGGGGAGTATGACGAGGATGATAAAGACGCGGACGCGATTTGGGATAGCGTCGACGAGCGCATGGACGATCGGAGGCGCGACCGGCGCGACGCGCGGCTGAAGGAGGAGATCGAGAAGTACCGCGCTTCGAACCCGAAAATCACGGAGCAATTCGCGGATCTGAAGCGCGGCTTGGGCCAGATGTCGACCACTGATTGGGACAGCATCCCGGAAATCGGGGATTACAGCTTACGAAACAAGAAGAAGCGGTTCGAGAGTTTCGTCCCTGTACCGGATACGCTTTTAGAGAAGGCGCGTCAGGAAAAGGAACACGTGTCGGCGCTAGATCCGAAGGGGAAAGGGGCCGTTTTGGGCGGCACTGAAACGCCATTCGCATCGCAGACGCCTGTTACAGATCTGACGGCTGTGGGTGAAGGACGCGGTACAGTGCTGAGTCTGAAGCTGGACCGCCTCTCTGACAGTGTAACGGGGCAGACTGTAGTGGATCCGAAGGGCTACTTAACGGATCTTAAATCCATGCGGATTACCTCCGACGCGGAGATCTCGGATATTAAAAAGGCGCGCCTGCTGCTGAAATCCGTGATTCAGACAAACCCTAAGCACGCGCCAGGGTGGATAGCAGCAGCGCGGCTGGAGGAACTTGCTGGGAAGCTTCAGGCAGCGAGGGGGTTTATCCAACGGGGCTGTCAGGAGTGCCCTAAAAACGAGGATGTGTGGTTGGAGGCGTGTCGCCTTTCCTCCCCCGACGCGGCTCGAGCCGTGATCGCGCGGGGGGTGAAGGAGATCCCGACATCTGTCAAGCTCTGGATGCACGCCGCCCGGCTGGAGAAGGATGACGTGGCAAAATCCCGCGTTTTAAGGAAGGCTCTAGAGCACGTGCCGGATTCGGTGCGTCTGTGGAAAGCGGTTGTGGAGCTAGCCAAAGAGGACGATGCGAGGATTCTTTTGTCCCGGGCAGTTGAATGCTGCCCGTTGCACGTGGAACTCTGGCTGGCTTTGGCCCGTCTAGAGGTCTACGAAAACGCCAAGAGGGTTCTGAATAAGGCTAGGGAGGCTTTGCCGACGGAACCGGCTATTTGGATTGCTGCTGCGAAGCTGGAAGAAGCGAATGATAATGAAGGGATGGTGGGGAAGATTATAGAGAGGGCAATCCGCGGGTTGCAGAGGGAAGGGGTGGTGATTGATAGGGAAGCGTGGATGAGGGAGGCTGAAGCAGCAGAGAGGGCGGGATCGGTTGCCACGTGTCGCGCTATCATTCGCTCGACGGTCGGTATGGGGGTGGAGGAGGAGGATCGGAAACGAACCTGGGTGGCAGACGCGGAGGAGTGTATCAAAAGAGGCTCGGTGGAGACGGCTCGGGCGATTTTCGCGCACGTGCTGACCGTTTTTCCGGGCAAGAAGTCGGTGTGGCGGCGGGCAGCCCAGCTGGAAAAAACGCACGGGACTCGCGAGTCATTGGACGCACTGCTTCGCCGGGCAGTCACGTACTGCCCGCAGGCCGAAGTCCTGTGGCTCATGGGGGCAAAGGAGAAGTGGCTAGCAGGAGACGTCCCTGGTGCCCGAGCTATTCTAGAAGAGGCATATGCTGCCATTCCGGATTCTGAGGAGATCTGGTTGGCTGCTTTCAAGCTAGAATTCGAAAACAGGGAGCCGGAGCGAGCGAGGAGGCTTCTTGCTAAGGCGAGGGAGATGGGAGGGACGGAGAGAGTGTGGATGAAATCGGCCATTCTAGAGAGAGAGGTCGGAGATGTGGAGGAGGAAAAGTTTCTGTTAGAGTCGGGGTTGCGGCTCTTTCCCGGGTTTCATAAGCTATGGCTCATGCTCGGGCAGCTGGAGGCTCGCCAGGGCAGGACCGGGGCTGCCCGGGAGATTTTCCAGCGCGGGCTGAAGAACTGCCCGGGAAGTATTTTCCTCTGGCTGTGCGCTGCGAAGCTGGAGGAGGATTTAGGCGCGGTGAGCAAGGCTCGGGCGATTCTGGAGCAGGCTCGGCACAAGAACCCGCAGACGCCGGACCTCTGGCTGGCTGCGGTTCGGACGGAGGCTCGGGCCGGGAACAAGAAGGCTGCCGAAGCTACCTTAGCCAAGGCTCTTCAGGAGTGCCCCAGCAGCGGGAGGCTATGGGCAGAGGCGATCGAGATGGCGCCGCGGCCGCATCGGAAATCCCGCAGCGTTGACGCTCTGAAGAAATGTGATCACGACGCGTACGTTGTTGCTGCGGTGGCTCGGCTTTTCTGGGCGGATCGGAAGGTCGACAAGGCTCGGAACTGGTTCGGCCGAGCCGTGACCCTAGCTCCGGAAGTGGGGGATTTCTGGGCGCAGCTGTGGAGGTTTGTGAAGGCGCATGGGACTGAGGAGCAGAGGGGGGAGGTGGTTAGGAGGTGTGTTGCTGCCGAGCCGAGGTATGGCGAGGCGTGGACGAGGGCGACTAAGGCTGTTGAGAATGCTCATCTGTCGACGGAAACGCTGTTGAAAAGGGTTGTGTTGGCGATGGATAGGGAGGAGGCTGCTAAGACAGCTTCTGGTGCTTCTTCTGTTAGTGCTGCTGCTGCTCCTGCTGCTGCGGCTAACGGTGCTGCTCCTGCCGCTGCTAACGGTGCTGCTGCATGTGCTAATGGGTCAGCTGCTGCTGCTGCGCCAATGGCAACTGATGGGTAGTCCACGCAGGGACGAGGGTGGCTAAGGCAGTGGAGAATGCTCATTTGTCGACAGAGGTGCTGCTGAAAAAAGTTGTGTTGGCGATGGATAGGGAGGAGGCGGCTAAGACGGCGGCTGGTGCTACTGCCTCTGCTCCTGCCGCTGCTGATGGTGCGCCTGCGAGTGTGAATGGGTCAGGTGCTGCTGCACCGATGGCGGCTGATGCGTAGCTCTCGCATGGGGAGGCTTGACGGGAGTGGCCCTGCGAGAGAGGCGTGGACGAGGGTGGGTAAGGCAGTGGAGAATGCGCGTCTGTCGACAAAAGCATTGGTGGTACTGTGCCGATGGGGTGGCCAACGCAGTGGATGCTGGAAGGGAGTGACTGAGAGGGAGCCGTGGACGAGGGTGGCTAAGGTTGGAGAATGCTCATGTGTCGACAAAAGCATTGGTGGTGCTGTTGACATGGGTAGGGCAGTATCTGGCACTTGCTACCACTGCTGCTGCTTTGGTGTCCATTGCTGATCGTAATTGATCAGTAGACATTGGTGTTCATTATCTGGTTCTTCCAGTTGCTGTTGGTTTCCTGCTGCGTGCAGTCGCTCACCACATCTCCTGGTTACTCATGTGTGATCTTTGTTGCTGGTCAACAGACTCAGTTCTGGTACTTCCTGGTTCATCATATTCTCTGGCTGGTTTGTCTGTTGGTCTGTTCTGTTGGTGCTGAAACATTCATGTTTGAAGTGCTGTTTGTTCAACACACAAGGTCAATCAACACCATGAGCCACTTCAGACTTCAGGAAAGGAAAAAAATCACACTAACAAAGCATTGCATCCAGTTGCCCACTATACTCAAAGCCAGCCTACTTCAGCTGGAACATTTTTTTTTAAACAATACAACAAACACCTGCTCGAGTTTTGCACTCAAACCAGTCTCCATTCTACTGGTGGTACTAGCACTAGACAAACCATTTCAATTGATCAACTTCCCCTGAGCCTGCTTCACCAATCACCTGTGCTCCACAACAGGGCCTAGTGCCTCTCTGCCTTACCGTACCTCTCCCACTGCTTCAACTTCCACTCTGTCACCGATCCAGCGCTTGCTTAACCAGAGCCTTTTGCTCCGCACCTCACACTCAATCCACTAGCCCCTAGCCCCTGTTCCACTCCATCCCAATCCCACTTCCACTCTATCACCGGTTTTACCGATCCAATGCTTGCTTCACCAACGCCTTCTGATCTGCACTCAACCGCCTCGGGAACTGCACCTCGAACTTAATCCGCAAATTCCCCTTTCTTCCAGGCTCTTTCATCGGCATACCCTCGCCTGCAACCACCTTCTCATACCCCGGCGAAATCACCTCCGTTACAGGCACTTCCAGCCTCCTCCCGTCCAGAGTGGTTACCCTCACAGTGTAGCCGGTTAAAGCCTCCGCCAGGCTCAATTTCTGGGTGTAAATCAGGTCGTTGCCGTCGCGTTTGAACCTGTCGTTGGGTTTCTCTTCGATGATGAAGGTGAGATCTGCTGCGAGCATTCCAGGTTGCTCGTTGCCTTTCTCTGTGAAGGTGATCTTGGTGCCTCTTTTCCATCCGGGCTTCACATTGATGGTCAGGACCTCCTCCACGGGCAGCGTTTTCCTGAAAACAAAAAAAGGGGATGAGAAGCGTAAGGACAGAGGTTTATCAATTTAGGATCCCAAACCATAATTTCTTTTGACGAGAACTATTCGAAAGAAAAATAGAGAAGAAGAAGGCGCGGCATTCGGATGTAACATAAATTGAACCTCGGATCACTTACCCGCTGGCGTCTGCAATGTTTCTTGAGATCTTCATTTTCCGTGTGGATCCGGTATAGAGCTCCTCGAGAGTGCACATAAGCTTGTTCTCCACAGGAGGTGGCTTTCTGGGACTCCTGGGACTCCCGCCCATGGGCGAACGCGCGAATGGGGATTCGTCTCCGCCGAACATCTCCTGGAATTGCATTCCGCCCATTCCCCCCATTCCGCCCATCCCCCCCATCCCGCCCATTCCCCCCATCCCGCCCATTCTAGGAGATCCGTTGGGTGACATTTGAGTTACGCGGATACCCGGCCCGCCAAACCCGCTGAACGAGCTTCCGCCAACGCCGCCGCCGCCGAACGGGCTCGACCCGCCGCCGAAGAACTCCGCAAAAATGTCCTCCGCGTTTCGCGGATTGAACGAGTGAAATCGCACGCCGCCGCCGCCGCCTGGTCCTCCGGAGAATCCGCCGGGAAACCCGCCGTTAGCGGCACCGGCTGCTGCGCCGGGAGGCGGCACGCCTCCTTTAAGACCCTCTTCTCCGTATTGGTCGTAGATCTCGCGCTTCTCGGGGTCGCTGAGAACCTGCATGAAGATAAAGAGGTAAATAAATGTTAGGAAAGACGCGCTAAAGGACATTGACGAACGGGTTTTGTCGCAGCTCGATGCGCTAAAATCATTGCTGTTTCACAAATAACAAACTGCTGTTTCTTCTTTTTTATTATTAAATTCATACCTCGTATGCTTCTGATATTTGCTTGAACTTGGCCTCCGCTGCTTCCTTGTTGTCGGGGTTCTTGTCCGGATGCCATTTCATGGCGAGCTTGCGGTACGCCTTCTTCAGCTCGTCATCTGTCGCGGTCTTTGAGACCGACAGCAGGCCGTAGTAATCGATCCCCATCTTACGAATTAATTATAACAGTCTAGCGGAAGTAGAATCACTTTGAAAAGGAGCTCTAGTTTTTTCTTAATCAGAAAGGCTAAAGCTAGTTGAGCTTGGTGAAATTTGACAGGAAACAGTGCAGAGAGAGGAAGAGATAGCTTGAAAGCTTGGAGGTAAATTGCGAAATGTATGAGATGGCTGGCGAGTATTTATAAAAGAGAGGATCAAGCTGGGAGGGGAGAGGAAAGGCGCGGTGAGAGAAGAGCTGCACGAAAGGGAAGGACCTGGAATGTGCTTCGTCAAGCTAGGCGAACGATCGCGAATGCGCTCGAAGGTAGAAATTGTGGGGGAACGAAGCGAGGCGATTGGTAACGAAGTTGAGCTCAACTCTCGCGAAGTCGGGGAACATTCCCGAACTTTCTAGCACTTTCTCGTTCATCCAAGCAGCTCCCTCCCAAACCAACCAAAGCATTCGTTTCCGCCCGCCTTGCGCCCCTTGAGGTTGACGCGCAAACTGGAATCTGGGAGGATGAAGAGGAGATGGTAACCGCGTTGCGGGCGCGCGTGGGAAGAAATGTGAGGGTTGGTAGGGGGGGGAGGGGGGTGGGGGGAGAGAACAAGCCGTGTGCAATAACGAGGGTGAAACCACAGTTCAGTCAAGCATTCTGCCTGAATGTTCCTCGCTTAGGCATGGTGAAACTGTTGCTGCTCGTGAAGCTGTGGGTGAATGTTCGTTGCCACTGTAATGAAGGTTACTGGATTAGTCTCGAGATACTGGATCATGGTACATGTGAACCATTCTAACGAACACACAAGATTATAACACATGCAGCAACCAACATCAAATTGGAATACTGTAAGTGCAGGTATATTGGATACCAGCAGATACTGGACCTTATAATTTCCAGTCAACGAGATAAAATAACGCTGGGTCTAGTTCGTAACTTTCTGTAACATGCTAATGTAGAACGGGGGAGCGAGGGCAAGCAATGGTCCAAGCTCATAGTAGACCAGACGATGATGTACATTTGCTAATCACTCGAATCTGAAAGGGTGTTACAAGACAGTTAACTCTCTCCCTTCCCCCCCTTCCACTTCCCCATTCCCTTCCCCCACCCCTCCTCCATCCCCATCCGAGGGTCTTCAATGTGGGCATATATTATATATATGTGTGATACATATAGAGCTCGTACAGATATACAATATATTTAGAGCTGACAATTAACTTCCAACAAAATCTCCAGCTCAAGCCTCAGCAGGCTACAACCATCAAATCCAGCAAAACCTGGATCCCCTCTCTGCCAATGGTTCCTCCTCATGCATGGAAGGATAATTATGAACAGGCCTGCCCGGGTGCAGTGTAATCCTGCTCTCATCTACCTGGAATGATAGCCTATTTCCCTTGCCAGCCGATTTGAAGTTTGGAAATCCCCTCTGAACCTACTGCTCCTCCTCTTGCATGGGAACATCATCATAGGCAGGCCTGCCTAGCTGCAGTGTAATCCTGCTCTCATCAAAATTGAAGGATAACCTACCCCTCTCGCTTGCCCCGATTATACTAGAGGAATTGAAGATTTGATTCCTGGAGGAAGCATGGCCTTGACTTCTGCTCCTTCCTAGCCCTCTTCCTGTAAAACCAGTGCCTAAATCAGCCTGCTGCTGCTGCTGGTGCCGACGCTGCTGCTGCTGTTGCTGCCGCTGTTCCTGCTGCTGCTCCAGCTGCCGCTGCTGTTCTTGCTGCCGCAGCTGCTGCCGTTCCCGTTCGATCAGCAGACCCTCTCTCCAAACCCCAACATCCCAGCCCTCCAATTCCGTGATAAGCTGTTGAGGAGTCACTTCATCAAATGCACGGGTTGAGAGCAGGCGGGAGGACAAGGGCGGGGAGTGTGTGGATCCTGTGGTGTCTGTGCCTGTGCCTGGGGCTCCTATCGCTGGTAGGCTGACAGATGTCACCAGGGGATTGGTCATGGCAGTTTGCGGTGCCCATGCTGAGGAAGGCGCAACTGCAGATGGAGCAGCGGCAGCAGCGGCAGTACCAGCAGCAGAAACAGCAGCCGAAGTAGCAGCAGAAACAGCAGAAGCAGCAGCGGTCAAAGCAGAAACATCCACAGGTGGAGCCACTGCGCTTGTATCTCCCCCTCTTTGCCTCGCAAATCGCAGAAAAATCTCAGCAGCAGGATTCAGCGTCTCTGCAGACGCAACGGCAGCAAGGGAGGCGGCAGTAGCAGCAGCAGCAGCAGCAGCAGCAGCAGCAGCAGCAGCAGCAGCAGCAGCAGGAGATGCAGCAGCAGGAGAAGAGGCATTGGCTGAAGCTAGGAAAGCGTTCACGGCTGGAGATGCAGCAGCAGGAGCAGCATCAGCAGCAGGAGGAGCAGCAGCAGCAGCAGCAGCAGCAGCAGCAGCAGCAGCAGCAGCAGCAGCAGCAGCAGCAGGAGCAGCAGGAGAGAAGAGAGCTCGCGAGATGGCAGCAGAGATGAGAACGCCTGCAGCAAGTGAGGCGTCAGTAAGATGAGCGGACGCAGGAGATGCAGCATCGGCAGAAGCCTGAGAAGCGTTAACGGCAGCAGATGC